CTAACAGCAATAGCGCTTTGGTGGCCGTGGAGACGGCCGACGTGCAGACACTGCAAGTAGCTGGCTTTCCCCACCTCCTTCAAGCTGGAGAAACGGAAGACTTCACGGTGATTCTAAGAGATCAAAGAGGACGTATCATTGCCACCCCATCTTCAATCCTGTCAGTCAACTGCAGGGGTCAAGCAAATCCTCCGCCATTTGGCGCTTGACGTAGCTCTGTTTTCTTTCTGTTCAACAGCGTTGCTGCGTCTTGCTATATGGGTTTCGTCTTGGTATTTTTACCGCTGAATATTCATTGCCGGTTGCTTCCTTCCTGTGCCTTTTTCCCTTCACTTCTTCGTTGCAGTGCGAATAAAAAATTTCTCCTCCTTATGTGCTTTGCTGGTTGCTCTTTGTCGCTGCCTTTGTTTAGGCTCGATGTTCTGTCGTCTCACCCCTCCGTGGTTTCGGCGTCTGTAGTGACGGGACCAGATGGGCCCCTGGGACCCCCTGCTGTGCGCGTGAAGGGGCTGCAGCGGGGCTGCGCTGCCGTGTGGGTATATTGGGCTGCGGCGGAAAGCGGCGGAGACGCGCAGCAACGGGTGCAGCCGGGATCTGCCTATCGCACATGTGTGGACGTCACTGACGGCCTGCTGGGGCCGCCTCCGCTCGCCGTTTTGCCAGGTGCCTCTCTTCCTCTTCTGCAGGGCGCTCGCCTTCCGCCTGCTCTTCTGCCGCCCTCGGCGGCCCTACACTTTCAAGTTGCGTTCAGGGCTCCGCCGCTACTTCACGCGCTGCGCGCCTGGCGAGGCCCCGCACATGGCGACGCAGGAGGGGTGGCAGCAACAACAGCAGCAGCCGCAGCAAGTGACGCCGCTGCAGAAGCAGCAGACTGGGCGCCCACGTGTATGTCTCAGGAGGCAGCTGCTGCGCTGTTGCGCCGATTGCACACACCCTTATCGACGGAGGTGAGGCGCCTTCTTGTGGAGGCCCTAATGCCTGCTGACGAGATGCCTCAAGACAACTCACTGCCTCCGGTTGCGGTCGAGGTCCGCAGCCTTAGACTGCACGAGAATCCTATAGCAGCAGCAGCAGAAAGTGACGAAGGGGCCACGAACTCGTTCTTCTTCTGTGCTACTGACGAAGCAGCTGCAGCAGAGGCGGGAGCCTTTGTTGTTGTAGCCGACATCAGAATTCCTAACCTGCCCACTGCAGCAGCGGCGGCAGTGTCCATGCAGCTGGCAGTCGGCAGCAAAACAATGCAGGCTGCGGCAGCATCGCCCATTTCTTTAGAAGTTGAAGCAGCAACCCTGGATTCACTTCCTTCCGCGTGGAGAGTGGATGGCGTGCTGCTGCTGCTGCAGCAGCTGTGGATGGGCCTGGCGCGGGACTGGCGAAAGGCCCAGCACGCAGCATCTGTTCTCCTTGGCCCTCGAGTTTCAGGTGCAGGCATCTGCTGCCCCTCTTGGAGTTTTCCCCTTGCTGCCTTCCTTTCATGGGACAATGGCTTTGAGGGCTTGTCAATCAGAAGCGGCAGCAGCAAGAGTTGCAGCAGGATGGGAACCTTGAGATCTTCCGATCCCTCTTCCCTGGTTATTGTGGGGCTAGCAAATTGCATGTCAGGGGTTGGAGGCCCTGTTGCTGCGCTTGCCGCAAGACCTGCCCCAGTGGTGCAGCTGGTGCAGCAAGGGACGACGACTGCTGCAGCAGAGATCATCAACGCCTCAGCGACAGCAGCAGTTTCTGGCTTCGTCCGGCCATTTAGACTTCTTACCCAAGCGTCATGTGATGCTAGGGAGTCTGTTTGGCAGCAGCAGGAGAAGCAGCAGCAGCAGCAGTGGGTCGACGCCGAGGACTTGACGCTGCCGCGCTGCCTTACAGGGAAGACAGGGGGTTCTTTAGTTCTCTCTTTCCGCATGCAAGCCCTTACCCCGGTAGAAGGAATTGCCACATCCCATTATCACGAACAGCAGAAGCGAGAGTGGCAGGACACCCCATTTGTGTCTCCAGCGTTTCAGTCCCGGCTGTCTGTCCACTGTCGGCTATCGGACCGCCTCCTGTCCCGTCTGTACACTGTAGAAGGTCTGTCGAGGCCAGTTATTGAGAGGCCGCCGGGGACTCCAGTTGGCTGGAGCCTCTCGGCGGAGCCTCTGTGCATTGTGAGGGAGAGGCAGCACTTAAGTGTCCAGGAAGTGCAGCGTTTGCTGCAGCAGAGAGAGGCTACGCGGTGGACGTACACTTCGGAAAAGATGGCAAGGCTTGACTCAACTACCTCGCCAGCTGCCACTGCACAGTGCGAGGCACTGCACCAAGTTAGAATTAAAAACCGGCAGCAAGAGGGTTCTGCTGATCAGGACGGGGCAGAAATCAGGCCTGTGGCGCTGCTCGTTTCACTTAGCGGCCCGTCCTCGGTTCTAGCCCTACGGCAGGAGCAGCAGCGGCAACAGCAGCAGCAGCAGGAAGTGTTCTGGACCCACTGTGTGCGCTGGCCGATCGCTGTTCCTCTTCGGCTATTAGAGAACGAAGATTACCCAGGACAATTTGTTACTACCGACCCGTCCGCAGACGCCACGATTCGCATAAAACCTGCAGTGCAGAAACTGGCTTTCAAAGCTGCGGCCAGTAGCAGCGGCGGCCGTCTTGTGGCCATTCCCTCGGTCAGCAGCAGCAGCAGCAGCAGCAGCGGCGCCAGCAGCAAGTGGCCATTGGAGCTGCACGTGTTCCCCGTTTTGGGCGTAAATGCGCCGAGGGTGCGGATATCTGACAACGCCTTTGCTCTGGAGATGCACCGCCAGGGTCCCTTGCTTACACTGCGTCTCAGCCCAAGCCTTGAAGGCAGCGTGGCAGCCGCTGGTGCTGCAGGTGATGCAGCAGACGCCAGCAGACAGGCAATTATCTCGAATTGGAGAGCCCCTGTGCGCACTGAGGTGGTAATTGAAAACTCTTCTGGCGGGTCTAGGCTGCTAGTGGTGCTCAACAGCTCGGGTGTGCGGACATCCCAGAGAGTAACGACTGGGCTGGACGATGATGAAGGAGAAGAAGCGGCCCCAGGGTTTAGCGAGACGGCAGCTCCTCCCTTGCTGGTGTTTGCTCTCGTTGCCTGCCTGGGTGCCATTGGTTTCTGGCTTTTTTGTGGGTCTTCGGGGGCTGTCAACGCCTCCAAAGGCAAAATAGACGGCAGTGGGAGCTCCCAGACCCTTATTGGCAGCCCCAGACGAGATGAAAAAGGACCTTACCGTACCCGCGCAGGAAAGTCAGCGTGGGCGAAGTACGACGGCCCTTCAGTTCAACTCATGAAATCGATGGGAGAAGGGTTCCCAGCGTATACATTGCAGCCCAATGGGGATTGGAAAGCAGAGGAACCGCTACTCAGGGGTCCCTGCAGTATCTCGTCCACCATGAAGAGCTCCACCCGTTTCTATGACAATTGAGGGGCTTTCGATGGACGGTACCTGGAGGCTTCGGAAGTGGCCTGTAAAGGCACCATGAATCTGTTTCTACTTTCCTGGAGGTCAGATGGCTTCCCGAGGGCGAGAGCCCTTGGCCCTCTGACCGCAAACAAGAGTATACGGGCTAGAAGGCTCGGGAAAGGGGCCTGCTAAGTTTACTTGATCGCAGAGGGGAAGATTGCTGGCAGCGGCGTTCTAGACGCTAGGGCTGTTGCACTTGAGTGGTGCCTGCAAGCTGGTGTCCGGAACAAGGGTCTCCGTCTGTGCGTGCCTGTACATTTGCACTACCACCTGCGGCATCGAGGGAAAGCGAACTCTTTAGCTATAACTGAGTGATTAAATTCATTCTTTTGAACAACACGCTGTCCTGCTGAATAACAAATTCACTAGTGTAGAAAGCAGTCTGTACGAGAAAACAGTTCGTGCCTTCTCTGTGGGCCACGGAAGGTATGGCCAGCTTGGAGCTTACAGAGTGAAGAGCCCTCAGAGCCTTCCAGACATCCGTGCTGTACACCCTGCAGTTCAGAGCTACTCCCTATAGTTCAGTAACATGCCTGTCAATAAGCTGACAGTGAGCTTTTAAAGACGCTAACGAAAAGACGCTAACGAGGGCAGCGAAAAACCCTTTAGAGAAGCCCTCTTGGAGCCTCCTCAGTTTCGCACATAGCAAATAGATGCTTCTTATGGGTCTTCAGATTGCAGTCGTTCGGAGCTTGCTGCTGCTCTAGCCTTGAGGCCGGGGCAGGACACATCTCTTTTGAAACGCGTAGGCGCTGGTGACCATCACAGAGGCCCCTCAGAAGAATGCTCACTTCTTAGCGAACACTATAGGATCCTACAGGCCCCAGGGCAGCGCGCAATGTTGGGGAGAGACGGCCGGGCAGCTGGCTTGCCTCTGTCCCCTCTGCCCTTCAGCTAATGCATGCTGGCAAAGCCCCCAAACAGAGCGAGCCGCTGTGCATGCAGAGGCCTCTAGGGGAGGCGGGGGCTGCGGGAAGGGCCCGAAAACTTGGAGCCCAAAATACCTACGAAGCTGGCGCCTTACCAGCGTCAGCTCACGTTAATTTGTTGTCCCGTCGAAGGAAAAGCAAATATGGAGACAGTGATCATAAAACAAAAACATCTAAAAATAAAATGAGCAGTAAAAACCACCGGCGACATGCATGCCAGTCATTACCTAACTGGCTTCGTATCCAGCTGACTCGCTATGCACAGCGCACAACAGCACCTTCCGGACATTTACGGTTCCCTCCAGATGTGCACCTGCTGAAATAGCAGTGCTGCCACCAAGCCTTGTTCGCTGCTGCAGTTGCAGGCCCAGCTGCTGCTGCTGCCACCAAAGCGCTGTCCAGTGCAGATCCAGCAGCAGTGGAGACGAGCGCCTGTTGCTCTTTCCCTCGCCTATTCTGAAGGTCATGTGGCCACTGTCTTGCCCCTCCTGCCCACTCTACTGGCAAAACCCTTTTGCAGCTGCGACAGCTATGGCTTCTGCCGCTGCAGCTGCTAATGCCATTTGAACTACTACGTATTTTTGTCCTGCAACTGCTGTAGTTGCTGCTGCAAAAGCAGCTGCTATTGCTGCAGCTGCTGTTGCTGCGGCTGCTGCAGGAGATGCTGCACAAGCTGCTGCTGGTGCTGCTGCGAGAGCTGTTGCTGGTGGTGCATCAAGTGCTGTTCGCGCTGCATGAAATGCTGTTGGTGTGAATGGCTCTGCAGTTGCTGCTGCCGTTGTTGACCGTGCTGCTCCAAAAGATGCTCCTGCTGGCTTGGTTGATGCTGCGGCGCTTGCAGTAGTTGCTGTTGCGGTGAATGGTGCTGCGGTTGTTGCGCGTGCTGCCGCGCAATTTGCTGCTGCAAAAGCAGCTGCTGTTGCTGCATCTGCTGATGCTGCAACTGCTGTTGCTGCTCTTGCACCTCTTGCTGCTGCATCTGCTGCTGCTGCATCTGTTGCTGTTGCAACTGCTGCTGTTGCATCCGCTGCTGCTGCAACTGCTGTTGCTGCACCTGTTGCTGTTGCAGCTGCTGCTGCAACTGCTGCTGTTGCAACTGCTGCTGCTGCAACTGCTGCTGTTGCAACTGCTGCTGCTTCAACTGCTGCTGCTGCAACTGCTGCTGCAGCTTATTTTGTTGTTGCTGCTGCTGCAATTGCTGTTTCTGCACCTGCTGCTGCAGCTGCTGTTGCTGCACCTGCTGCTGCAGCTGCTGTTGCTGCGCCTGCTGCTGCAGTTGCTGTTGCTGCACCTGCTGCTGCAGCTGCTGTTGCTGCACCTGCTGCTGCAGCTGCTGTTGCTGCACCTGCTGCTGCAGATGCTCCTGTTGCTGCTGCTGCTGCATCTGCTGCTGTTTCACCTGCTGCTGGTGCAGTTGCTGCGGTTTTATCTGCTGCTGTTGCAGCAGCTGCTGCTGTATCTGCTGCTGCTTAAACTGGTGCTGCGAGGCATTTTGCGGAGACGTGTGCTGCTGTTGTGTCTGCTGCTGCAGGTGTAGCGGACGCTGAGGTTGCTGTTGTTCTTCTTCCTGGATGCGCTGCTTCTGTTGCTGAAGGTGGTTCTTGCCTTGAGAAGAGCTCTGCTCCTGCTGCTGCCGTTGAAGCTGCTGTTGCTGCATCTGCTGCTGAATCTGGAGGTCCACGTGCCGCTGCTGAACCTGTGCTTGTTCATCAGGGACCTTCCACTGCTGAGCTTGCTCCTGTTGCTTGGCTTGTTCTTGGGGCTGAGACTGGTGTAGCTGTTCTTGTTGCTGTTGTTGCCGCACTTGCTTCTGTTGATGTTGCTGTTGTTGCTGCTGTTGCTCTGCTTCCGCCAGCCTGTGCCTTTTTCTGGCAGTTTCCATTGCGCGTTGTTGCTGCAGCATCTGGCGCAGTCTCTTGAGCTCGATGACCTCATGGGGTCTGAGTTGCTGCAACGCTGCTGCAACAGACGGTCCCTCAGCAGCTGCCGCTGCTCTTTCTAGCGTGAGGGCCCTGAGGGCCATCTGTCGCCTCTCTGTGCGTCTCCTGGCTCGCAGGGCCCTCCTCAGCCAGTCACCAGCAGCAGCAACGGACAGCTCTTCGGGCGCAGCCAGCAGCAAATCCATATGCTCCTCCAAGCCAGATGGCTCCCCAGGAGAGCCCCCGCTGCCCAATTTCGACGCCCCCAAACCCAAGCCCAGGGGGTCTCTGGCTGTGGGGGGACTCCAGGAGAAAAATCCACGATGGGCATATAGCTCAGCGTAACTGTCCGCCTCCCCAAACGGCAGGCCGCCCCCCATTTCGTCTTCGTCTGAGGAGCACCAGTTTGAGAGGGCCTCATAGCCAGTCGGCTGTGTGTCGGGCTTTGCGGGACTTTCTGAAGCGTGCGAGGCGGCCGTGGCTTCCGTCTTCTTCTCGCAAGCCTCTGCTGCGCCTTTGTTGCCATCGTCAGCAGTTGAAGTGCTGCCTGCAGGCTTTACTTGCTGTTGCTGCTGCTGTGTTTGAGGCTGCTGCTGCTTCTTGTGCTGCGGCTGCTGCTGCTGCTGGTTCTCCGAGCTAGAACCGACCGACAGATACACATCTTCTCTCAGCCTGGACCTGAAGGGTTCCTGCTGAAGAAGAACAGAGAGGGGAACGCGGGAAGCCTCCCCAGGCAAGGCGGGAGTGGTTTCTGGTGAGGTTCGGGGGGCCGCCCATTCGCTTTCTTGGGACTTTGGAGGCTCAAGAAGAAAAGTCGGGGGACCTGTCATGAACAGAGAGCGACTGAGGAGGCGCTGCACCTCTGCTGCTGCACACAGGGCAGAAAACACCTAACCCGCCATCCCTCAAGCGCAAATCGCTCCCATTCCCCGGAAACCCTCGCGATGACCCACAGCACATTTATGTGAAGGTTTTGTTCAATAAAACGAAATCAGGAAAGTCGAAAGAGGCAGAGGGCCACACACCGCGACTTTGGGGAGTGGGGGACTTCGACCAGCAAGGGTTAGACTGCTCCTCCAAGAGAGAGTCCGCAGAACCGAAGAGACACATCGCCGACTGACATAGTTGCTGCAGGAGCAACAGTTGAGAAAACCGCAGCAGCAGCAACAACTGCAGCAGCTTGACTAAGCAGAAGAGTGATGTTCTTGCACGGCTCCGTACCCATCAGGCAGCAAAATTAGCCCTTCCACCTAGTCAAATGACCAACCAAGAGCTGGCTAAGCATCTATCCACAGCTGCAGCTGGAAAGCTAAAAACCATGTAGGCAGCAAGGAGCCCACAGATAGCAAAGGAAGCCTTCAAGTGCCTCGCTAGCCTGTCTTTTCTCTGGCTAGCCGGCAATACCTCTTCCTATCCAACTGGATATGCGTCTTCCCGTCTCTCTGGGCATATATCGAGCTGCCTGTGGCTAGCTAGCCTGGCCAGCAGCTAAGTAGCCGTGTCTGTAGCTATCCAGCCTTGCAGGTGGCTGGCCATTTCTGTCTGTCGCTAGCTCACCGCTGTAAGTGTGTGCCTAACTTGGGAGTTGAAGCTGGGCTGGGCTTCCTCTTTCCGCTTTTGCCTCTGCAAGGGAGCCAAGCGAGGCACAGAAAACAGCAAGGGCTCCTCAACAGACTCTGAGGTTTCCAAAGAAAAGTCAAGGGCTCCTAAATCCTTGCGACCCCGTTGGGCACCTCCCTCCCCGCCTGAGCGGTTATCTTCTCCTGCAGTTGCAGATGAGGCAGAAGCCCCTGAAGATGCCCCCTCCGAGGGCTGCAGCGACTGAGTGGCAGCAGCAGCAGCAGCAGATGTTGTGGACTTGCGGGGGGCCCTTGAGCGCTTCGGTGCATCCCTGCAGCCGCAAACAAGCTCTCTATTCCATGCTGTGAGCCTCATTGCGTATACCCCAAACCCTAAACCTCAGCCTGGTTCACTTCTAAGAGCTAAGTGGCACAACCCAAGCCGCAAGCCTGAGACATGAGTAAACCCTAGGCCTCGGCCGAAGTTTCAAGCACTACAATTCGCCTGAGACTAAACACCAGGCCATCCTCGTGGGACTTACCCTTCTTGTGCAGCGAGAGCATCAAGCCTTCTCATGAGGGCATCTGCCTTGGCTGCGGCGAGGGCTTGAGGGCCCCCTCTGGGGCCCCCCTTAGCCCTCCGCGTGCCCTCGACGAGCTTGCGAACCGACTTTAGAAGGGTCCCCCTGGCAGCTACAGTGGCTGGAAGGGCCCCCGCAACTATCCACAGGCCCTCACCAAGAGACCCATCTTTGTAGAGGGGTACTTTATATGCAGCCAGCGGTCCTCCATCGGAGGGACCCCTACCCTCCTGTTGGGGCCCTGATGGCGCCCCTGGAAATGACCCTTTTGCTTCTCTCGAAGAGTCTTGCAAAGGCCTTCCCACAGAAGAAGCTCCTGGCCTGTGTTGCGGCGGCAACGGGGAGCTGCAGGCACTTGGGGCCCCTGCGCTGCCTGCGTTTGAGGGGTTGGGCAAAGCGGAGAGAGAGGGAGAAGAATTCGGCGAAGGAGAGGCAGATATGACAATATGGGGAGACCCAAAAGATAAGCGGCCGCTTGAAGATGCACTGGATGGCAAATGGGGTGCCCCTGGTGAGGAAGCGGCCGGCCGCGGCCCAGCAGGTGCTACTGCAGCTGCCAAGGAGGGGCCCTGGGGCCCCGGAGGCCCTGCAGTACCTCCTCCAGAGGCTACTAAGGGCCTCATGTAAAGCCGTTCAGGTGGCTGCAGGCGGGAATCACAATGTACAATATAGGGGCCAGCGTCCCTGAAGGCTTGCTGCTGCCGCTGCTGTTCCTATTGTTGCTGGTGCTCGGTCGGTAACTCTGCCCTAAAAATGGCCCTGAGCCTCTTAAATAAGCCTGGCCAAGCAGAACACCCGAGGACTTCTCTTCCGCCTTGAGGCCCCTTGCCGTGGGTCGCCAGCGATAAAAAGATGGGCTCCCTCCTTAGCGTCCACTCGAAGAGGGCCTTTTGCATTTGTAAGAGCCCAAGTAGTAATGCAACTGATTGTACGAAGCTTCATAAGGCAAAAAGTGCCGCTGGGCAAGGCAAAGGGGGCCCCTTCAAATCCGATAGCCGCTAGGGGGCCCCCAACTGTAGGGGCATAGACTGAAGAGAAAGACGCCGCTGCTTTTTTGTCTGAGATGTTTTTTTGATCTCTTATATAAATTTATTTGTATGGAAGGCCGCAATAGCTTCTCTGGGCTTCGCATTTCCGTTCTCGATACGCCTGGGCAGGCCAGGCAAGCGGATGCTCTGCGCTGCAAGCGCTGAGGCTCACTTTCCTGAGATCTAGACTTCAAACCCAATTTTCGGAGCTTCAGACCTTCGAGCACAATTCGAGCCTTCTTTCATTCAAGCTGTTTCTTTCGAGCCCTGGAGGCTGTCCGTGCTTCCCCTTGAGTCGGTTGTCTCTCCTCTCCCTTCGTTTCTTTCTCTCTCTTCTCGCTGTTCCGCTCTCCCTCTCCTCCATTGCTTCAGTGGCAATGGGGAAGAAGAAACAAAAAGGGAGCTTCTCTCTCGGGCGCTCTGGAGAAGGCTCGGGGGCAGGGCCGGATGACGGGGAATGGGGACGCAGCGGGGATTTAAGGGGCCCGTCTCGCGGGTCTCGGGGCAATCGCAAGCCCCGCGGGCCCCCTGTAGCCTCTGATATGTCATTCTCTGCAGCACTAAAGGCGGCTGGCCTATCTCTTCGTCACATTGTACCCGACGGCAACTGCCTGTTTCGTGCTGCTGCTGACCAGTTGTATGGGCAGCAGGCACAGCACCGAGCAGTGAGGGCAGCTGCCGTATCTTACATGTCGAGCCATGAATCATCCTTTTCGGGCTTTATAGACACTGAGGAGGAGCCCTTCAACAGGTACTTGAAACGCATGGCGACAGACGGCACTTGGGGCGGGCAGCTGGAGCTGCAGGCCATTTCTCTTGCCTACAAAGTCAACTTGCTCATCTACGTGGCTCCCGAAGACGGCTGGGGAGAAGGAGGAGGGGCCCACCGCAGCGGCAAGGCAAAGACGGGGGCCTCTGCCGCCGCACGACGAGAACGGGGGGCTGCGGACGCCGCCCAGGACGACGGAGGGGCCCCCAAATGGGACATATGGAAAATGCAGAACTTTGGGCCTTCCGCAGTCTGTCTGCAACTCGCTTTTCACCCTGACATGCAGCACTACAACTCTTTAAGGATGCAAGGGGCCCCCGAGGGGGCCCCCAGCACTTTGACGCTGCAGCAGCTGCAGGCTCATAGCGACAGCTGGGAGGGTCAGGGAGAAGAGGGCGTCCCTCAAGAAAATTCAGAAGTCTCAACAAAGGAGGGGCCCCCAATGGAACCGACACTCCAATCGAACAAGGCAGCAGCACTGCAGGAGCCAGCAGCAAATGAACCCAGCGCAACCATCAACAGCAGCAGCTGCAGCAGCAGCAGATACGTGGGCCTCCCGCCGGATAAAATGTTGGGGGCCCTCCGGGCAGTGGCATCTCTGACCAACATGGGGCCCCTGTGCCCGGCCTGTGCAGCTTGCTGTCGAGCTGCGTGGCGGCGGGGGGCCCTAACAGCGCAGCTTAACTCGTGGGGGCCCCTGGGCCGCCCCTCTCTTTTTCGCTATGTGCCTCTAGCAGCAGAAGCTGCACAAAAGGTAGGGGAGAAGCCCGTCAAGAGCCTCCAGAGCGCAGCACGCTTGAGGACCAACTATTCCCTTCGCCACAGAGGCCGGAGCTGCCTCGCAGCCATCTGGCCCCGCAGGCGCCAACGAGTCGCCACCTCTACCGATTCCAGAAGCAGCACTAGCAGCACTGACAGCAGCAGCGAGAGCAGCAAGGCAGAGTCTGAGGGAGTCAACGGAGATGGTAGGGATGCAGCTAAAGACGGGGCCTCTCACCTCAACGTGTTAGTGGCCGTGCTGCAGCCGCCACCAGGCAGTAGCAACACCTCGGAGGTCTACTTGCACCGAAATTTGATAGACAGTGGCAGCGGCAGTACGGGCAGTGCCGGCGCTGCTTTAGACGGCCTTTTTTCCATTGACTCCATCAGCTTGCGCCTCCACAACTGCACGAACCCTCCGCCAGCAGCGCCAGCAGTACCTGCAGAATCCGCCGCAGCTTCGCCTTCGCCTCGCCGCAGGAGGGCGCCATTAACTACAACGGCTGCAGCAGCAGCAGAAGCATTGGGATCCGCGCATGCAAGGCCATTGCCACCAGCAGCAGTGGCAGGAGCTCCAGCAACACCGGAAGACCTGTCTCAGCCCGCAACAGGCGGAATCGATGGAGCCGAGCCAGTTCAGCGTGCAGCAGCAACAACGGCAGAAGCAACTGCAGCAGACGCAACAGCAGAAGCAACAAGGGCAAAGGGAGCAGGAGCTGTAGTAGCAGCAAAAGAGGTCTTGCTGCCATGCAGGGTGTGGGCGGGCCCCACACTATTGAGAATAGAACGCCCCCCATTGCTGCAGCCCAGCAACGCCAGCAGCAGTAACGGCACAAACAACAGCATTAAAGGCACCGGCAGCAGCAGGAGGGCGGTCTCTCTTCCTTCACTGCGTATCCGCTTGTTGCCTTGTGCTCGTTTGTGGCTTACTGGCGAGGCAGCAGCAGCAGCAACAGCAGCAGCAACAGGTTCGCCGTGTTTCAAAGTGACAACAACAGGCACAGGAGGCGAAGTTTCCGTCGTCGAGGTAGAAGCAGGGCCAGATGCTGCCGCCGCTGTTGCTGCTTCTGCGGCTGCCGGTGCTGCTGTTGCTCGGGGTGGCGAGAGTGGTGCTGCTGATGCCAAGGCGGAAAGTTCGACTCAGCAGCAAGAAAAGCAGCAGCAGCTGCAGCAGCTGCAGCAGGTGGCAAAAAAAGGAAGGATGACTAAAAAGGAGCGGGCGGAACTGAAAAAGGCAAAGAAACTGCAGAGGTGGGGGGTGATGCAAGCCACAATGCATGCGTAGAAGATTGACACATGTGCAGTGTAGATACACGGGTAAAGGGACAGCGAGACAGATGCCGGCACAGGCTACTCTAGCCTCTAAAATACACAGAGAAATGTAAATAGAGGCTTGGGTTCCGAGCTGCAGGGCTGTGGCTCTAGAAATCGGTGCTATGGGTTGAAACGTGATCCCTAGTGCTTTGCTGTGTGCTGTCGCAGGGAACTTTTTAGGGCTGAGCGACGCCGCACAGCTGCTTGCGATTCAGGCAAGGATGCGGTCCCCCAACGCAGTAGTGAGGGGGATCCTGCTGGAGGGGAGGCATCTTTGCAAAATCTGGCCGAGTTGACCCGTCGTCTGCTAACTGTTTAATTAGCTTTAGTGAGGTCCTTTTGTAGGATCTCTCAGTAGCATTTTTGCTGAGTTGCTCAATTGTATGTACAGAGCCGTGCAGGAGGTGTAGTATTATCTCCCAATTAAGTCTAATTTTATGTACAGAGCTGTGAGCTGTGCAAGCGATGAAGCGTTGCCTCTCAATACGTAAGTCAATAGATAAATATACTGTTTTTTATGGGTAGGTGTGCATGGTGTACACCTAAGTCTTAGCGCTTAGTGTGAATTTTATACGTACAGATTTCTGTATTCGTTATGTGAAGACATTATACACTAGTTAGGCGGAACACGTATATGAAAGCATCACAGAATAACTATAAAGGTTCGCGAATACATAGTTATGTTTGGATATAATAATGCTCGTCATTGATTAAATGCGAGCCCCCAGTGTAATCAGGGTTTCCTGTAGATCTACGGGCTGACCTGGGGCTCCCGATGTATAGCAGGAGCTTGAGAGCCTTTAGGGCCTGCAGTCACGGTAGTGTTTGTCCCATGGCCCGTTTTATGGCTCTTCTGTGTGGCCGTTTGGCTGTCATTCAGCTGACAGTGTGTTCAGCCCCTTGGGGGCTTTGACAGCCTATTCCAAGGACTACAGTTGATAGAGGGGACCCTCGTGACTGTTACGACATAGTTTTATTTTTAATTTTTCAAAAATAGCAACGCTGTATCTGTCCGTCTGTAGACAGACCCATACACAGATGGAGGGACTCGGGAAAAAACACGAAAGCAGAGGTTATGGGCATAACCTCTAAACGGAGGTAAAAGTGAGACAGGCACCAACAGGAGGGAAAAGCAACAAAGACAAGAACAGCGATAGCCGTGAAAGATTAACGAGATACATATAGGATCAACGCCGAGACCGAAGCATAAACGAAAGGGGGAGCCGCGTGAATTCAATGACCTTCCAGTTCGATCGCTCCCGCCAGTGGCGGCCAGCATTTACTCTCTGTCATTGAGAGTTGCTTGTGCAACTCGGCATTCATATACACCTACTTTCCTGTTGAGCAGTGGATTCATCAGGAAACTAGGTGTATATAAATGCCGAGTTGCGATATGAGGCTCGGCGCAGTTGAACCAAGAACTAAACAAGTTCAGTACTTTGTTGGCAATTACCTCTGTTATTTCACCCTTTCTTTCTGGAAGTTTTCGTGTACGGACCGGTTCAACCTTTAAGTAATTACTCAGGAATACAATATTGTAGTTGTCCATGGATGTGTCTTTCCAGACATGTTGAGTTAATGTTGGAGACCAGCACACTGCAAAGAACAAATGGTTTCCATCACTGTCGAACGGCGCCTCTTTCATGCCCGATCCATTCATCCTCATCTGTCACTCTCTGCTCGCAATTTCATTTTTCATGTAGGTCCTTTACCGGAGCTTGCCTAGAGACCACCCACTGAATGGCTATTCACCAAGCTAGAGGCCCGATGATGCTGTTGAATAGGGGCAGCCCAGAGAGATGGTTGCCACAGAGTAAAACCTAGAACTGTTTTCTTCTAATAGAAGTCCCTCTGATGAGTTGTCTTAACTAGAGGGTCCGTTTCAGGGGCCGGCCATATACAAGCTCAGACAACCTGTGGCCCTCTTCGCGTAAGTATTCGCTGTGCACGTGCTCTGTTGATTTGTCTGCGTTTTGTGCTCACGCAGTTTGTGTCTTTGTCGCCTGGGCAATTTTAATTTATATTCGTGCACATGCTGTCGGCTTCTAGTGCATTCAATGCGCGGTCAGCTGTCCTCCTCTGTGAATAGTAATACATGCTGGGGGAGAGTCGGGAAGAGCCGACTGGTAAAGGGCCTACATGCGCGCATGTGATTGTGGGCATACACGAGACCTAGAGTCTGTTGATACACCTATCCTAACTACTAATTTCGTTATTCATCTATGTAATTTTTCATCCATATTTTCTGTGAGATTCGTTTGTTTGTCCGTTGTTAGTTCATTCCGAGTCTGACAGATTAATCACTTCGAGGGCTCGCTGCTGCAGGCCCTTCTTGAAGGCAGCTAGGCCTGAATACTCTTCCAACCGCGAGGCGCAACTCGTGGCTTCCCGCAGGAAGCTCAGGCCCTGGGATCGATAGGCAGACACTATACCTGGAGAGCAGCACGAGCAAGTCGGGCACTGCGGCTGGTGCTCCTTCATCAAACTAAAGTCTGAACAAAAGACAAATACACAACTCCCATAGATACATATATAAGGGCTAAATGCATGCATATGTGATCGGACGTACGCAAAAGCAATGCATGTGCGCATGTATACTTGCGGCTCAAAGGCAAATACAGACTGACAAAAGCAGGCGGGGCACGGGGTGACCATTTCAGGGGCAGTCAATGGCCACGTAAGACAGTCGCAACATGGTAAGCAACCGTCTGAACTGAAATAACAGATGCGGCGGCAGCGTCAGGAGTAGCTGTGCAGCAAGTGTAGTTTTCATTTCTAACCTGCGAAGTTGGCTCTGATCATATGTGGCGTGGCGCCTAAACAGGAAAAGCCTCCCTGCTTTTGCCGTTGCAGACCGGCGGCAGCGGCAGCACTCCCTCCTGCTAGCGGATCAGTCTCAGTGTGGGGCGCAGCAAAGCCCTGGGGATGTTGCGTCAGAGCAGCAAGGAGCTCCACGGCTACAGAACAGGCCAGAGCCCCAACACCTGGCCGAGTCACTGTGCACTGCTCATCTAATGTCCTGAGAGCAGCAGTAGCACTAGCAGCAAAATACCAGCATTACGAGCAATTCAGGTAGCACCAGTAGCTCCCAGAAACACAGCTGTAGACACCAGCGCCACAGGTCAATAAGCAATGGCAAACCAGCAGATTCTCTTAGAGTAGCAGCAGTGTCAGCAGCAGCAGCTGAGGCATAATCCACAAATGTCGCATCATCAAGACCACAAAGGACAGCAGCACATACAGCACAGTGCCACTACGAATCACAGTGCCAGTAACTGTGATTACATTCCTTCTTCGCATTCACATTTTTAGTACCAGAAGCTGCAGCAGCAACTATTGCGGCCGCATTTGTCTATATATGAACCAACCTGTGAGAAATGGAATCTGCGGGGCCATTGACGGCGTGGCAGAAGTAGCAGCCGAGTTTGTTGCCTCCAAAGCCGTGGCGCATTACTAGCATCGAGTCAAATCCAAGGGCCACCGTCACAGCCAAGGGAGGGCCAAGGCTGCCACGAAGCAATCCCGCAGCATATCGATTGTGTCTGAGAGAAACAACACTGCCAATGCACAATTTCACTGCTACCTATAAATATGTCCATGAAGTTCATGTATGTGCGTGTGTGCGTATGGGCATACATACGAAACATGCATTCACTGATTTGTAGGTACACGGATATGACATGTCCTCCATGTATCTACACATCTACAAAAGTTATCTGTTGCTATGTTGCACATAGGAACACGTGCATGAACACAAAAGTCGGAAGACAAATGAGGAAGTGCGGGCAAACAGGGAAAACGCACATGTATCTACGCATGCACGCGTAACATGCATGTGAGTATGTATTTAAACTTGCAGATGATTTGCGCTTCCACGCAAATGCGTACAGGCATGTAAACAGAACCTATACAGATGGAACACTCTTAAACCTTTGCCTGTACAGGTGCACGTTGGTGCTTATACATTGAGATTGCGCACACAAAATGTACATAAGCATTCGCATGCCGGCCCATACAAGTAAGATGTGGACGTAAGTTCGTGCGTGCTCGCGTGCACACGCTAATTCGTGGTCTATGTAGAACCATATTTATAGCGCGAAACAGTGCTTGAGCCATATGCGTATAAAAGCATACGTATAGGCCTGTGCATGGACTGCGTTCGCACGAACAAAAACATGCATGTGCATGCACATACGAACTAAAATGAATATGCATGCAATATGCATACACACACACAGGCATAGAGATAATTTCCACAAAAGTATAAGACATGCAATTGTTAATGAAGAAACTACACAAACAATTGCACAGAGAACAATTAACTACGGTGTTAAGATGTCAAAAGAGGACCTGACCTTTCCGCAACAATGAGCGAGGGCAGCCAGCGCGACTCCCTGCTGTCAGTCAGAAGTAGCACAACATTGTGCGAGTCAATAAGCCGCTCTAAAGTGGCCGTTCCCTTCTCCAGAAGATCTCCTAGGAGGAAACGGGGGTGACCTACGCCGGTATACACGGCACACGAAAAGGGAAGCCGTGCCCAGCTACCGCTACTTACTTACCCAGCCGCCTCTTCAGCTAACCTCTTAGTTATCTGTTCACGAGACCATGCAGGCAGCTAAAAGATACGCTCCGAACAGCCGGCAAAGTCATTCCAAAATTAGTGTCAACGCTTTCGACTGCAAAACAGGAATGACTACGTCCGCCGCAGTGACAACGTAGCTAGCTAGCCGCCCAGCTAACCACGCAGCTAGCCTAATTTGACTAGTTAGGATGTGTTTGTTGACGAACCAGGCATGGGGACGTCGAGGACGACCGCGTTGCACTCCATGCTGGGCCTGACTGCGAGAATACCGTCGCGCGCAGCCTCGGCCTTCAGGCGTCCCAAGCCTCCCTGAACACAAACGCTGGGTGTAGTTCCAGCCCATACTTGTACGCCATGCCCTAAACTACAGGCTTTAGTGACTAATACATATTTAACAGACGGTCAAGCAGTTCAGTGTTCGGGGACGGCGGGCTCATGGTGCTACTAGCAGCTATCTGAGCAGCTCTTGGCCTCGAGTAGGTGCAGGCTTTAGTGTCTATACAGAGCCTTAACCCTGTCCTAAGGTGTACGGACGTCAGCCGCGGCGTCTTGGTGGGTAAAGAGGTTCTGCCGAGAGGGGTTATTGAGGGCCACACGACCCCCGTCTACAAACGTTATGGCCCTGATCATTAATAAGGGATAACAACGTAGCTTCAGAATTTTATGACAGGCCAGCAGCACTGTGTATGAGCCTCATAGACTAGCAGTTTAAGTGTGAACCATTAGATACGGGATAAAGGACACCTTCAATTGTAGACAGAGTAGGCGAGGCTCATAGGGGCAGATAAGTGTCTCTGCCCCAATTCTCTTTGCTGCCTCAGTTTGGCAAAGACGGGCAGAAACTGAGGGAAAAGCGGGCTAGCACGAAAAATGAAGAGAGTTGCGGCGCTTTGGAAACAAACGGAAACACAGAGACAGGCAAACGTCGGCAGAGATAGAAAGGATAGAAAGGAAGCCACAGGCTACAACCAGTGCACAGTCTGGGAAGGAGCTTTAACTGCATGCAAGCTACTGATTAGGAGGTAGGGCTTACCTGACACCCCAAGAGGCCAGCAGCCTCGCTACTCCGCAGCCTAAGGTGCCCGCGCCAATTGCCAAAACCCGCAGTGACTGCAGAGACTCGGGGACGAAGGACGGCAGCACTCTCCACCTTCACGCAAACACAAGCCCTTCACGATAGACCAAGAAATCTGATTCCTTAGCCCAAATCCTCGGGCCTTGAACTGTGGAGCCAACTACCAGAATACAGCCCCAAAGTTGAGAGCCCAAAGATAGCTGTGACACAAGCCCTACTTTTCAAACCCTGAGCAGGCACACTCAAGAGCCCTGTGGGAAAGGCCTAACTTGCCTGATGAGCTGTATGTTCAGGTTGTCCGCCTCCTGTTGCATCACTCGTGGGTCAAGAAAACGCCCCAAATCTACATGAAAAAGGTGCTCTATCTTTGAAGAATGCCCAGGAACACCCCCCGGCACTACGCGCTTCAGCCGCCCGAGCACCATGGATGCCTTGCGTGGTGGTAATGCTGCTGCTCCACTTTCTGGAGATGTTGCCGGTGTCGGTGTTGCTGGTGCTGCTCCTGCTGCTGCTTCTGGCGCTTCTGTTGGTACTGCTGCAGGCGCAGGCGTGAAGGCCCCCAAAAGTTCTGCTGCTGTTGGCAGACGCACAACAAAAATGCGCGAGAGAGGCTCCACTACCTGACCCCACGCAGCCGCAGCCGCTGCTGCCGTCGCTGCTGCCCTCCTCGCTGCCGCAGCAGCATTTGCTGCAGCTTGTGGGGCTGCCACAGCATTTTCTGGTGACGAGTGTGCCGCGACATTTGCGGCGGCCTCCGATGCCTCGTGGGCAGCAGCAGCTGCAGTGGCTTCTGCTGCAGCTGCTGCAGCAGCGGCACTCTCCACCCGCAGGTCGAGCAGCCAGTCCCTGAAAGACAAAACATTGAGGCGCCGTCCGAACAGCTCGAAGCCTTCACTCAGCGCCGGCAGCAGACACCGCAGAGGCCACCCCAATGCTCCAGGATTTGACGACGGGTCCATTACGCATAAGTACAGCTCTTGCTCTTCGTGCTGCTGCTCCATCTGGTGCTCCTGTTGTGAGGCTGGTAAGAGGTGTCGCAGCCTTTCAAGCTGCTCCAGAGGCAGCAGCTGAAGCGATTCAGAGGCGACACCTGTGTTGCAGCAGCCGCTAATGCCTGTGTTGCTATTCATTTTGCCACTCGCGCCTTTGCTGTTACCGTTGCTGCTGCTGTTGCGGTTGCTGCTGCTGTCTTTGAGAAGAAGGAAGCATCCCCCTGCGAGAAAAGGGGAGGTGTTGCTGTCCAGAGAACGAATTCTCCGCGAAATTGCTGAAAGCTCCGCAGCAGTAAATGCCTCCCTTTGCAAGTGCTGCTGCTGCTGCTGCTGCTGGGAACGGTTATCGTGCATACTACACTCCAAATCCGCGACAAGTTCCCTAAGCGTGACTGGGGGCGCTGCGGGGACCGGCTGCTGCAGCTGCCGTATGTCTGCTGCCGGCCTCAAGGCTGGTGTGCAAATAGAGTAGACAGCGCGCTGTCTCTTGAGATCTATAAATGACTCCAAAACAAACCGGCACGGCCAAGCAGTCGCTGGTAACTGTCCGTACACCACGCGGCAGGCGCAGACTTCCCCCTCCTCCGCTGAGCCAGAGACAGCTCCTGGTGCTGCTCCAGTGGCTTCAGCTGCGGCCTCTGTTGAGTATCCGTCCGCGTCTGCTGCGTCTGCTGCTGCTGCCGTGCTTGGGGAAGCAAACCCTTCCACTGCCCATGTGAAGGGAGATGATGGCGCTGTGCAGCAATCAATGTCCTGCTGCTGCTGCTGCTGCTGCTCCAGGTCACGGCAGCATAGACGCAGCGTCCACAGTGCGGGGTCGTTGACAGGTAGGTACATGACTTGCTGCTGCTGCTCAAGATCTAACTCCTGCTGAAGCTCATGCTGAGCCTCCTGTTGGTTTTGCAGCTGGTGCTCGTGCTGCTGGCGGTTGGGGCTGCACCTGCTGCAGCAACAGATAGACTCCTCTAGGCGCAGCAGGCAGCGCTGCGCCGCAGCTCTGCTGCGCACTGCAGCAACGAGATCCTCCATGTTGTTGTAGACACGCAGAAGCCCCACAAGGGGTCGAGTGCCACTCTTAAGGCACCGCGCAGCGAATGGGGGTAGAGACATCAACGCGGAACGCCTAGAGGTCCCTGCTGCTGCTGCTCCAGGGGGAGGGGGTGCCCCTGCTGCTGCGCCTGCAGCAGCTGCTGCTGCAGCTTCCGCCTCCGCAGCTTCAGGAGATGGCAAAGGCGAGGAGTCATCGCCCCCGTCCAGCCATTCCCGGAGCAGCAGCAGCTGCTGCTCTTCCTCCTGTTCTTGCCCCATTGGTTGTTGGTGATGCTGCTGCTGCTCAAATTGCTGTTCCACTTGCTCCTGCTGCTGCTCCTGAAGAAGGTGATGCACGATATCCAGTGCTTCCGCGTCAATGCGCACCCTGCAAGGACCAGCAGCATGATGCCCTCCTTGTTGCACGTGTTGCAGATTATGCTGCTGCTGTTGTAGCGGCTTCGCTGCTGTGCAGCTGTACGTAGCGATAAGGGGCACCCACGGAGTGTTGAGCCTCCATTCCTTCAGTTTCCGCTCAGAGAGCAAACGCCAGAACGAGACCTCTATAAGGAAAGAGAAGGGTTGAAACGCGAGCAGATCCTGCTGCTGCTGCTGCGGATGCGGATGTTGCTGCAGCTGCTGTGGTGGTGGCTGATGCTGCTGCTGCGGCGGATGCTGCGACAGCGGCGGATGCTGCCGTTGTGGCAGATGCTGCCGCTGCTGCTGTTGCCGATGTTGCTGTTGCCGATGTTGTTGTTGCTCCCACTGCCGCTGCAGCAGCTGCTGGTGCTTCTTCTGTCGCTGCTGCTCTGACTGGGGTGCCTGAGGTGGTGGCGCATTCGGCGCCGCCTCCCTTTTGCCGACCATTGCTGCCGCCGCTGTTGTTGCTGCAGCTACTACAAGGATCGGTCTCTACAGGAGCCACTGCTTGCGCAGAGGCTTCGTTGCTGCTCCGAAGAGCGGGTAGGGCTTCACGTGCCGATGGACCATCCGAGCAACAGCAGGAGCTGCAGGAGCTGCTGCTCCTGCTGCTGTCTCTACAGCAGTAGTTTAGGTTTACGCAGCAACGGGTGATTGTGACAATATAATTTTATTGAAGATAACGCCGTTGCAGCGGATACTGGGATTAACTGTCTTGCTGTTGCCGCAGCTGGCTGCTGCTCCTGCCGCTGCTGCTGGTGCTGCTGCTGCTGCTCCTGTTGTGTGCTGCTGTCAACGGGGATAAATGTGCAACTGGCGGCCACTAGGACGTTTAAATGTCAATTGAGGCCTCTGCTGCACTGAACTCTAGATACACTGTAGAAGTTGCTGCTGCCGCCAAGCAGCAGCCAGCAAAGGGGACTGGTTTCTGCTGCTACCGCTACTGGCAGCAGCGTGGGGCCTGCGTGATGGTTGCTCTTCCACCTCTTGTAAGTGTCTGTTTTTTTGCCGCTAATGCGGCCTTTGGCACTTTTAGGAGCTTCCGGCAGGAAGAATGCCATTCCTACTAGTGTTGCTGCTGCACAGGCGTTGACCTTTCTGCAGCTGCCGGTGCTGCTGCCGACGCCCAGCGGCAAACGGGATGTGTGACATAGCATCGGCAGCAGCGCTGCTCCTCTCGACTACCTTCTGATCAACTTTAAGATTAACAGCTGCAGCAACAGCAACTTTGTGCGTGGCAGCTGCTGCTCCCCTGCCTCCGCTCTATGCGTTGGGGCTTCTGTCTCCAACAGGAGCAATAGCAGCACCAGCAACAGCAAAAACAGCTCAGAAGCGCTTGACTCACGAACTGCACGTACATAAGAGTTCTTCCACGGAAGGCAGCTAGCACCCATCGACTGCTTCGTTTGGAGGACCCGTGCTGCAGCAGCTCCGCTGCCGCCGCTGCACCCGCAGTAACACCGCCAGCAGCACAAGTAGGGCGAGGTAACCTTGTGAAGGCTTTCCTGCAGCGGCTATCATCGCGGCTTGCAGCGTGTCTTCGGCTCCAGATCACTGTAGCGTCTAGCTATCAGAGACAGCAACGGCGAGAACGGCTGCACCAGGACACCAAGGGCAGCGAAACCAGCAGCAGCAACTAAAGGGGAAGCAGTAGCAACTGTTCCAGAAGCAAACTCCGTGTCTCTCTGCGGTATGTGCTGGAGGGACAGCGGTGTTTTCTGCTATGAGAATGCTGCAGCACGAGTGGGAGCAACAGCGGCAGCAACAGCAAGAGTGGCAGCAGTAGCGCCTGCGGCTACAGCAGCGGTACAGCAGCTGCTTTTTCAGTCATGGCGCAAAAACGCTCGTGGAAAGCCCCAGTGGAGCGTATGATCCTTTCACCGGGTGCGCTACACGGGGAGAAGCCGCAGCAGGACCAGCAGCAACAGCAACAGCCGAGGGCGATGCGCGGAAGCTCAGTTGCACGCCATGCAGGATCACTTCTGCCGGCATGGGGGACTCTGCTGCTGCTACAGCTGTTGCTGCTTCTGCAAGCAGCAGGCGGGGGTGCAGCGGCGCTGTCCTTTTCCCCGTGCCCCCAGCAAGAGCCAAAGCCGCAGCAGCAGCCGCACCAGCGACTGCAGCAGCATCACGTGGTACACCCAAGGCGGTTTGCCTTTGTATCTCACAGACTGCCGCATGACCGCGTTTCGGGGCCCCTTGATGCAGCTCTTTCACTTCGGAAGCAGTGGCCGATCCACTTTGTTGAGAAAGCCTTAAGAAGCAGCCACACCCAGAAAAGGCCAGTGACAGGGGTTCTCCATATCCCGCGAAGTTCTCTGATGAGGGCCCCCCAAGCGGCTCTGAGCGGGTTGAGGGGCGCCTTGTTTGGGAGAAAGAGAATCAAAATACACAGCGAAGAACAAATGGACAAAGCCCTCGCAAGAGGGGTGCCGCTCGCGTTAGCAAGCCATAAACCCTAAGCCTGAACTCTGAAATCTAGGCCGTTGGCGTTTATTCATTAAGTTTCTTCCACAAGTTCTAGCCTTAGATCCTCTTCCCAGCTGAATCCATCCTGGGACAACTCAGCCAGAATAACTGTTATTTCAGTGCAGCTCCAGCAGCTCTCACATCCACAGTTTAGAGTTTAGGGTCTAGAACTGACATCTGTGGTCTTGTGCTCTGTTTGCAGATCGATGGAAGTGTGCGGCGACCTTCACTGCCATCGTCCCCCCTTCAATCCGGTGCTGCTGCTGCGCCTGGAACACTTGCTGCAGCAGTTATTGAGTAGCAACGGCGGCAGCAGTGTCCGAAGCAGTAACGCTGCGCTTTCTGAATTAACTCGTTGGCTCTGCGGACGCAGTGAAGACCCAGGAGCCTTCAAAAAGGGAGGCTTGTTGCTGCTGCAGCAGTGCAGCACTTTGCTGCGGCAGCATGTACACCCCGTGGCACTGCTGCTGTACCGACGCCGCCTATTTGGGGGTGGACCGTTCGAGGGGGTTCCTTCCTGTGGGCCCACTGCCGGGGGCCCTCGCCTGTGGAGTGTGCAGGGTGTTGGGGGTCGCCCTGGGATCTCCCGGCCCTCTTCACAAGGAACAGAGAGCCCAGTGAAGAGCCCTAGGGACGGGAAAGTGCTGGCTTTGGCAATAGAGGGGGGGGCGATGCGTGCGTGCGTGTGTGCGGGAATGGCGGTGGGCCTGCAGCATCTGGGCTTCACGGACAGCATTGACGCGGTGTACGGGAGCAGCGCAGGGGCTTTGATTGGTGCGTTCGTGGTGTCTCGACAACTCGCTTACGAAGGCAGTGCAGTCTACACTGACTGGCTACCATTCTTAGGGCGTCGTTTCATCGACACACGCCGAATCGGCCGCGCACTCGGTCTGGGCTGTCTGCTGGATGGCGACCTTCGCGACTTTCTCAGCAGCCGCTTGGGCCGACCGCTCGTCAACCTGGATGCGCTCCTCGTGGAGGTTCTGCAGAAGAGACAGCCCTTCAACTGGTGGCAGTTTGAAAGGAATGACAAGAAACAGCCCCTCAAAGTACGCTGATGCAATCGCAACGCTTAGCGTTGCACCACGCATTTCACTCCAGGTCCTAATTCCAGGGCCACACGACCCAAAATTTCGATACCAAGCCCTGGGCAGCAAAGAGCCGTTGGCAGTTCAAGGAAACCAACGCATTTTGAGAACCTAGCAGGGTTGCCGTGTTTTGCTGACAAGTTTAGCGTGTCGGGCTTGTGTGGCTGCAGGTGATAGCCTCCGGGCTGCTGAGCTTAAAGTCTGTGACTCTAGACAGCTCTGGTGGAAACATAAAGGACATGGCCTCGCTGTCGGAGTGCCTGCGTGCGTCGATGTTGCTGCCGGGCTTGACTGGACCTGTAGTCCACCTGCCCTTGTGGGATCCTCCTCCAGGGGGCCCCACCCGTAGGCCGCTGGGGGACTTCCTGCCGATGGTAGCGTCCTCATCTCTGCCCCGTTTCGCTGCGGAGGCCCCCAAGGCCTTTGTGACGGAGCCTCTGGCCGACGCACTGCTCTTTGAGGCTGTGCCCTACCGAAGTGCCATCGCGCAAGGGGCCTCTCATGTCCTGGTCCTCCGCAGCCGCCCCGATAAGGCACCCGTTACGCGTCTAAGAGGAATAGAGGCGGCAGTGAGTCGACAGACAGGCTGTTGAAGGCTGATGTGCCCGCACTGCCACACCAAAGCGGCTTCCGCTGTCTCTTAGCCTCTGTGCCAAGCCGTTTCTTGTGTCAGTTTATTTGCCTGTTTGTTTGCTCGCTTGTCATTTCGTGTGGTTTCTGGCAGCTTGCTCATTTGCTTGTTTCTTCTACGTATAATGATGCATTTGCTTCTGCTAGCCGCTGTCATTCTTATATTCTGAAAAAGATGCACTCATGCTGAAGTTGCGTATAGGCATATGCGGGCTGTAACTTTGCTGCGAATGCTTTTTTCCCTTGCCTTATCCTCGAATGCTTTTTTCCCTCGCCTCTTGTGTGTAGGTGTTCTTCTCTGCCATTTCTTCCGTTCGCATCTGTTTTTATTGCCAGTGACTGCTTGTTTTTTTATATATGAATACGGCTTCTTAGTCGCAAGCCTCTTTGATGGATGTCTGTCGAAGCCTTCCATTTTTGTCTCTTTTTCGTCCGTCTGTATGGCTCTTTGTTTGTATTTTCCTACCTGGTTAAACCTGCCTCTCTGTTTCCGTTTTATTTCCTTATCTCTGTGCCCCCATTAGATGGAAATGCAAATGGCCCGGCGTTTCTTTTTGCGGAAGCACAGCGGCCTTCGTCCCGTCTACGACTTCATGAGGCGCAGAGGTCACAGGGAGATTTATATGCGAGATATGCTTCGTCTAAACGCCGCCACCAATAATCTGAACACCCTCATTTCAGGAAGGCCTGCAACAGTATCCCCCAAACAGGGAGGGGTGCCTGCAGCCCCCGCCTCGTCTGTGGGGGTCCCCACAGCCCACGCATTGGCGGTTGCTGTGGGGGGCTCCGAGAAGGAGACGCAGAAACTGACAGCAGAACGAACAGCCATTATTAGAGGCATCAGGTCTGGCTTCGCTGCTCTGTGGGAATCCCTCCAGCCTGACCCTGAGCTACGAAACAAGGGCGCAGAAGAAGCGGCTAAGGTGGGAGACCTACAGTAGCTAACGAATCACTGTATCTTGACACTTGCCAAGCGTCAGAAGCCGTATCTCCGAAACAGTTTATTTTTTGGCCGTATTATCGCTAATCTTTCATTGTTCCACGTCGCTTTCCTTCTGTTGATCTTGCCTGCCATTGTCCTTTTTCGTTCGCTCTTTGTGCCTCTACCTTTACTTGAGTTATTCACCTGCCCTTGTCTTCTCGTGTTTCGCCTTTTATGTGTTCCTGCCCGCTTGGCTAACTACTCACGTTCTAATTTCCTTCTAGTTGTATAGGTTGAGTAAGGGCTCCCTTGCGCTTCCGACACCTTTTCAGGTATTTCCTGATAACCTTCCCTTCTCCCCAGCGCTGAAGGGGACCCCATTGCCAGCTCCTCCTGTCTATACAGCGGAGGAGGCTTCAGCTCTATTATCCCCCGCTGAGCTGGCGGAGTACTTCCTACAATCGGCGAAGGCGGTGCAAGACCGAAGCAGCCCCGCCCTCAGCAACCAGCCAGAGACGAAGCCTCACGAAAGCCCTCCTTAATCACAACTACCCAGCCTCTCTGATGAGAGGACTAGCCCCGCGAGGGAGTCCGGGGAGCCTGACAGGAGGACAGTCATTCGGCTATCCTCAAAGCCCCCACGACACCCAACTTTGCATTTGATGGAATCAAGTCTGTCGAGTCCCTTGGAAGCCTCTAAAGTTCCAGAAGCTCCATTGCCCAAGAGGGCTCATTCAGAGTACATGCGATGGAGTTGTGTACCCGGCGAGGCCGCCAGATAAAGGCAGGCCTGCAAAAAAATAGCGGTAGACACAAGGTTCACACACGGACACGCTGCCCAACTAATTGGTAGAATTTACTGTGGCAAGAACAGGTGACAAAAGTATTAAGACAGCTCAAAAAAACGACTAACCAGGACTAACCAGGCAGGCGTAGAAGCAGAAGCCACAGCACAAGTCGAATCTCCTATTTGAGACCCCAGTATAGTCCCTTTCCTCTCGTCTTCGTTTGCTGTGCACTTCTCTCGTGCATACAACAGTCCTTCTGAGACAGACGACAGACCCCGTTCTGCCTATGGAGGCAGGAGCAAGTTTCCAAAAGCAGTACACCGTTTGCTTCGCCGAGCAGCCCAAGGCTCTTGCTGACTGTCACATAGCTGGCCCGTATATCCAACAAAAACTGAAAGAGCCAACAGCCAGGTCCTCTGAATTTGAATACCAAATATTGTAACGACATCTAATATCTTTACCAGTCACGTGCAAGAGTAGCTGCTGTTGCCGCCACGCGTGCTGTTGCCGCTACACCTGCAGTCGAACACGAGCCTAGCTTCCTACGGTTCGCTGGCTCTTTCCTGTTTGATAGACGCCAATTGCGTAGCCTAAACTTATGTACACGGATTCCAAACTTGAGGCTCCTGGTTATCTGGTAGGTTTCTCTGTTTCTTTTACACTGTTCTAAAGCTGCCCCTGGGGTCTGTGTCGGCGAAGTCTTGCCTCCCGGTCGCTGTTCACATCTTCATGCAGTGGGCCTCCGTTCGAGCTACAAAGGGCTCCAGATAAGCTAAAAGTCCACCTTCAGAGCTAAAGAGGGTGGTTGGTTCTCTACGCAGGCCGTGCAGCAACTGCCGAACTACCTGTCTGCACAACAGGAAACATTACTAGAGGTTCGCAGCACTCTAGAAGCGTTCCACAGTATTAGTTTCTTATAAGCTAAAAGCCTTGGGGTTCCCAGATGACGTCGCCAGCCCCAGAGAAAGGCACTGACTAAGCCCCTAAACAAGTGAAGTAGTGCATGAAACAAAATGGGAGCACTACGCATTTAGACAGTTGGCAAGAGGTGCACGGAACCCAACAGGCACCTGCTTATCCACCGGACACGCCAAAAGAAGCTCTGCGGACCCACTGTAGGGAAGCTCTTCGGCTATGAGGCCCCTCAGCGCCTACTCAGTTCCTTCTTACATGACCCCAGGCTCATTGGAGCCCTTGTATCTGATCATGGAGGAAGCTGAAGCAAGAGAACGCCGCAAAAGACTCCACAGAGTGCATGCAAATTAAAGGGAGCCAGCGTTCTCCCCCTTCTCTTCCTTTAGCCCAGATGCTACTGCTGCTGCTGCCTCCGTTGCTGCTGGCGCTTAACACGGGACTGGGCCGCTCCGCTTTCGGCATTTGCTGTTGCTGTGCACACTCACACAAGACCCAAAAAGCCTATTAACGGGCAATATAGTTGGACATGCGAAACGGCCCAAGCGCACGTCGCCGAAGCCCTAAATGGCGAAAGAGACTTGCTGCGTTAGCGTCTACGGGCAAGTGTTGGGGTTCCAGATCTGAGTAAGAGTGTTTAGCAGATAACTAGGATTCTCGATTTAAGGTGCTGTTTTCTTGCCTCGAGTAATCCCTTCCAGAGACAAGTCGGCATCCCCCAGTTGGTGTTTGGGGTGAGATGCCCAAAGCATGAAGGCCGCGGCGAGCCGCTCCAGCTGGGTCACCTCAGAGACAGAGCGGGCCCTGTATTTCACGCACTGAGCAGCAGCAGCAGCAGGAGCAGCAGCCGCAAAGGCAGTAGAGGCAGCAAGTGCAACGTGATCAGCCACAGCAAACACCCAGAACCTGGGTCGACTGAATGCAACCAAGGCAGAGAGGGTGAAGGCAAGGGACCATACCAATAAAAAACAAAGTTTATTAGCGGGCACGTAAGAAGACCAACAGGCAAGTGATCCAGCCAAAAAGCAAGCGAATGAGAGAAATGCAGAGAGAGAAAGTCCAGCACAAAAATTCAGAAACAGACCAATGGACGATAAGACAGACAAACTGCCAGCCGTGTAGGGGCTAAGGAAGAAGTATCACGACACCCTGCACGCGCAGAAACGCAAATCTTTGCTTACAGAGACATCATTCGTCACCTTGGCCTTCAGCAGGCAATCACTCCTGCGATACTTCATGCAGAAGCGAGTCTGTCAAACGCATCCCCGGGGAACCCAGACCTCAAGCTATAAAGAAATGAGCAAGCCGCGGAGAGGAATAGGCCGCCTGTCTGATCAGTGCCCTGAGGAGTGCTTTAGCGCTTACCTTTGTGGGGCTATCGAGGAAGATGTTCCGGGTGGCGCGGGCGAAGGAGTCCCATTCCTCAGCCGAGGACATCCTCTGAAAATCGTGAGTGCAGTCCCTTTAGTTCAGAAAGTATGATTGGGCTTATGTATATGAGATATCCTAGAACCTGGCGATAGCAGACGAAGCGTGAGAGAAAAACGGAGGGAATGACAGGGATAGCAACCAAGATTCCCTAGCACGTAATAAGAGATGACACAGCGTGTACGCGGGAATCAAGCGACCCAGTTGCCAGCGCCCACGATTGCCTCTGACAAACAACACAGGCCCCCCGCAACTAGTTCAAGACAGTGGACGACTGAGACCCCACAGAAAGGGAAGGCTTTGACTTGAGAGCAATATAAATTCTTTTGCAATTCGACGCAGCAATTAGATATATTATCAACGCAGACAAACGGGCACAAATCACCACGAAGCAGGACAGAACATCGCCAGCGCTCCCGCAGGCGAGAAAGGAGGGAACGATCGACAGGAGAAAGAGACAAGAAAGGCGAGACGATCCTTGATTACTTTCAAGATTAAAAATGGAAGAACTAATGAAATGCTCGCCCAAGTATTTATTCACTTCTTGTTGTTGCGGCGGAGCCTGAACTGCATGCAGCAACAGCCCCTGCTCCGAACCTACGGGAGAAATGACGCACACAGTAAGTAATTGCTGTTCTACACATTGTATTTCAATCCTAAGGATTCGTCATGATGTACGTATTTTGCTGTGTTTGATATCATCAAGCACTTTACAGGAAGCTGAGTAAAGCAGACCATGGACTGCGCTATCACACTCGCATGAGCAGTTGCACGGTGGCAACAAAACAGGAGACATTGCGACGGCGACATCAGCACATATATCACCAGCAGCAGAAAGAGTCTTCTTCTACCTGACAGGTTCAAGTCTGGCGGCTGCAGCGATATCAGCGAAGAGAGGTAGTATTTTCCGAGAGCAACAGGAGCAGCAGAAGTAGGAGCAGTTGCAGTAACAGAAGGAACAAATCTTGGTCAACAATACCTTCCATTCCACTCCCTGCGTCAAAAGCTTCCAAGGACAACGGGCACTTTTTCACCCTCCTACTACTTGCGGGGCGGGCTCCTACAGCGGGTAGACGCTGCCTAAATGGCTACCATTCTGGGTGGCCCTATAGGGGCTGCTGGGCGTCTCGCGTCAGCTAAACAGCACGCAATTTTCTCCGTATTTGCCTCAACGGTGTGCCTCCCTGCACGGCAGGGGCCCCTACGTACCCACAGCCTTTCTGAAAAGCCTCAGGACCACTGGCTCCGCTTTTCAAGTCTCCCTCATGAGCTGCAAGGGGCCCTTTTGTTTGAAGCGGGCTCCTTTAGGGCGCTCCTGCTGCGCTGTCTCAGTGGCTCATCTACGGCACGCTGCGGGCCGGCGCCCCAAGACGCCGCGGCCACACAAAGGGGCGCCCAAGACGTAACAGAGCCTGCAGCAGAGGCAGCAAAGGAGGCATCTGCCTCAAGTGCGGGGGATTTGGGGGCCTCTGGGGAGGCAGATGACACAGGCACAGCTGCGGACATCCATTACCAAGCAGCTGCGGATGCGTTGCTGAGTGGGCTGGCCGAACAGCTGCAGGAGAGGCAAGATGCCGAGGGCATTGATGACGTTGACTGCCGAGTAAACCCCAAACCTAAAACCTTAAGTGCTGATCACTTGGACTTGTTGTTTCTGGACCCGCGATTTTGCTGAGTACGTTACGGCAGCTGCCGCTGCGCTGCTTGCAATACCAGCGGCCACTACTTGATTGTCTGCGGCCCCGCCGCTGCTGCTGTTTTTGCCGTCGCTGCGTCAGGATGGCGTACTCAAAGTAGTGTGCGAGAGCGGCTTAACTTTGGTTCTTAACAAGCACTACGTTACGAGGCAGATTTGGTACGCCTCACCTCGGAGGTAAGTGCTGTATGTACACGCCGTCTACTGCACAAGTACAATGGGGAGGGTTTATGGTTAATGTTTCATTCTGGCTACTGCACCAGTGGGGTCTAGGGTTTAAACTCAGGAGGCTTAGCTGGCTAGCGCTCAGCTCTTTGTACAGATTTCATTGCTCAAGGCATGCCTGCAGCTGGTGACTTTCTCGGCTGCAGCGGCGCGCAGTACTTCGACTTCGTCACGGGGTGGAGATGTGCGCGCACCGGGCTGAGTCTTTTGGAGGTGCTGACCAGGGACATAAGCGCAGCCAACGGCAGTAGCAGCAACAGGAACTGCGATCATACCGGCAACAGCCTCTCGTGGCCTGAGGGGTCACTCAGAGCCAAGTGAGCAGCGGGGCAGGCACACACAGCCAATGAGCTCCGCTCTGGATTAACCACGAGCAGCCACTCACAGAACGAGTGCCCTATACTTCAATGAAACATTCACCTTAGCTCCTCTAGTTCGGACATCGGCGTACGTGCGTAGCCACTCGCTCTGCATTTGAACAAAACGTAACGGGCTCACCAGGCAAACTTCCTGACGAAGCCTTTGAGGACGGCTTCAGTATGACATTCCCACTGTCCGCCGGATGCCAAACTACGTGAACCCCTTTATGCTAAGAGAAAGACCTGTTGCACGAAACAGCTTCGGGAGGGCTCCGAAACACCTATCAAAACGGACTCCACTACCACAGGCAAACTACATTAACCCCTCCCCTATATGTAGAACGGGCGACCCGTTAAACGGAACAGGCTCGGAACGCCCCAGAACACCTAGTTAGACAACCTAGCAAGACAACTACAGAGCCCCTCTTCCGAACCTACAAACGCCAACCTGTCCGGCCGCGGCGTAAGCTTACAAAACACTAACTTTCCAGACTAAACCAGAGCTGGCAATGAACAGCAAAGGACGAGAGAAATCGTTCTCCCACCCAACAGTACGTCTGAAAAATGCGGCCACCGCAAAGCCTTGCATGCTGTAGCGTCTGGTACACCCGACGCAGGCATAGATAGACAAATACACATGTACGGATACTTTGGTCTGTCGATAGACATATCTGTGCGTATCTATACATGCGCATCAATAATTTCACATTATGCGCGTACGTACATAATACACATGTCCATGAAAACAAATAATGCACCCTCACGTGCTACAGCAGACAAATGTACGAAAGGCGTTATCTGCTCATGCCTCTATAGATAAGCAGACGCAGCATGCATTCGGCATGCGGGAAGGTGGCCTGAGGCCGCGCAGCGAGCACTAATTCCCTAGCTGCACAGCACCACAAAAACAAATAAAAAATAGACCACGCACCCAAGCTATATAACGGCAAACAGCGCTGCAAGCACCTCCCCCAAAGCCGCAACACTAGAGTGGTGGTGAGATATGGCTAGCTACTTAGCTAGCCGACCGGTGAGACGAAACAGAAATGCCACCGTGACGCGCGGATTGACACTCGCGGTCGCTCCATGGTAGGCATGGTCGCACGATTGCAGCAGCTGCTGCACGTGCTACAGCAGTCGCTGCTGGCTGAGGCACTTCTCTGCTGCCCTTTACTGCAGCCAACGTACAGCGAGCTGGTGCAGACCCTGAAGGCCCCACAGGAACCTCGCGTGTGGCGTTACATAAAAACCCGAAAAAGAGCTGGCTCGATACGTGTGTAGACGTGCACATACCGTGAAGCAGGTTGGCTGACACACATCCAAACATGTATCAAAGACACTAAAGCAAGGGCCTCTTCACGGCTGCTGATCACGTTGAACCCATGTAGAGCGCTCGCGCGATCCTCAGCTGTACATATACCATACCTAACCGGGAAAGGACAGCAATAACTCCAGTGGCCCTGCTAAGCTCAGCCCCCAAAAGGCCGCGGAGCTGCCATTTCAGCAAACGTGCTGCCAATGTCCCCCTAATGGTGGTGCTGTCCTCGCAGCTGCTTAGACAGTGAGCTCCTTCCCAGTGAAGGAAGGCGCCTGAGCAGGAGCAAGCTGGGTGGCCGAGAAGTGACCAGAGGCAAGCGAGGGCACTGGCTGCCCTGCGTTGTTAAGACCTGTAACATCGAAGTACTTGCTCATAACCCTCCTCTTTCCCTTGAAGTAAGGAGACTCGTCAATGGAAAGGCCTGCCGTCTCCTTCATGAAGATGAAGGAAATGATGAAGGCGATGAGGGAAGTTCCGCCGCAGATGCCCAACATGACTCTCATGTCAGATGTGAGTACGAAGTCAGAAGGCAAAACAACAATAATGGTAGCCACAGCGTTAATCGCAGAGGCGACAGATGCACCAGTCTGCTTGATCTCTGGTGGGAAAATCTCGTGCAGGTAAACCCAAAGCACGGGGCCATAGCCAACTGCAAAGGAAATTACGAAAACGTAGATGCAAGCCACTGTCAGCCACTGCACGCCAGTGTTGTGGCGGTCGACCAGGTTTGCAATAAGCGCGATAATGGTAGAGGCAGCCTGCCCGAAGCATCCTGACAGGAGCAGCGTCCTGCGTCCAAGGCGGTCCATCAGGAATATGGCCGGCACAGTCATGAGCACGTTAACAAATCCAAAGACGACGGAGAGACCCGTGACCAGGGAAGCGTCGATGTTCAAAGAGGTGTAGAGCTTGTTGCTGTTGGCGACGAGAATGTTGATGCCGGTGAACTGCTGGAAGGCGGACAAGAAAAAGGCCAAAAGGAGCACGTGGCGGTAGATCGGGAATGTCATCGCCTTGCCCAGAGAGAGACTCTCGGCCTCAAGCACCTTCTGCTGGCAGATTGCAACATCGATCGTCTGCACCTCGTGAGAGACATCCTCTTTTCCCAGAATCTCTCTCAACAGCGCCGTTGCCGTATTCTTCCGCCCCTGATGCATCAGGAAGTGAGGGCTCTCTGTGGTGTACACCAACCACAGCAAAAGGATAGCGACGATCGAAACTGCTGCAGGGAAGGCCAGCATGAACCGCCACCAGCACTGCTGGAACAGGGAAACCTTGTACGTGAAATCCGTGTCCGTCGGTGGGGAACCGAAGGCCAGACCCAGCAGAGTCGCAACCAGAATACCGATGGTGATCAGCAGCTGATGAAGCGTGCCATAGAAACCACGAGAGCTATCTGGCGTGAACTCAGAAATGTACATGGGCACGCACACAGTGGCTAGACCGACAGCCAGACCCTGATAAAGACGAGCCAGGAAAAGAGAGGCAACGCCTTCTGCTGCGGCTGCCAGGGCGCTGGACACAAGGAAGAGCAAATTTGTCAAAATCAGTGCCACGCGGCGCCCAAAATTCGTTACAGGCCCTGCAAGTAGACAACCGAAAGTTAACCCTATGAAAACCGCAGTGGTAATTAGAGACCCGTATAGCACGCCATTGCTGCAATCGATGAAGTGGTTCGCGTCGCCCTTGCACCAGTCGAAGTCGGCAATAATGATTGCCTTGGATGTGTTAAGAGCAGAAAAACTGTATCCGAACTGGAAAGAGCCGAGGACAGCCACTAACACGAACTGGGCAGGGGCTGGCAAGCAACAGCTCCTGGGGGTAAAACGAGAGGGCGGGACATCACCAAGAGCGTCCACCTCCTTTTTCGCATTCGCATCGATCTTCTCCATCTTCTCGAGCCCGGCGAACAGGCACAAGCCTGCTGGTACCCTCAAGCTAGACGAATGCAGGCTAGATATGAAACACCCACAAGCCCTGTACCGGAAAAATGCAATAAGGTCAAACCACTAACCCCGCCGTAGACCTCCGCCAAGAAAAAACATGCCAAACTCCAAGGCGCCACGGTGGGGCAGCCACTCCCCACGAGATATGAATACACAATGCTGGAGGAATTTGCTGCTTTTCTGCAACTAAATGTAAATAAATTCAATTGAACATTTCTTGTGGAGATCTGCAGCTAAACTGATGTGACGGGGGGCGGTGAAGCAGCGTAGGCTTGAAGAGCATAGCCACCCGGAGCAAACAGCTTGCAGCACGTGGATGGGACACCCTAGCACCTCGCACGCTTTGCAGTACGGGGCGAACAGTGGAAGCGCAAGTAGCTACAACCGTTAGACTCCCAAACTCGAAAAGAATTCGTAATCACTGCACTCCTGTAAACAAATAATTGTAGTATTTGTCCAAAAGCCAATGCAGGGACCAGGGCGCTCGTCTCTTCACAGCCTGCCAAGGCAGTGCGGATGCAGGGACAGCCAAGTAGTTCGTCTCGCTCGCCCCGCACTGTTGCCGACGAGTGTGATAAGAACAAGCTGTTGCTATGGCATAAACTACCGTACTTTTTTCTATTCTACATGGTTACTAATCAGAAGCAACCTAGAAATTTCCACCTGCGCTAACTGTTGACTCATAGGACTACTATAGTGCGGGTGTTCCCTGCAACGCGCGCACTGAGCACACGACCTCACCCAAACGAACTATTCGTGTGCGCAATTGATATCAATTTGGGGAGGATGTTTTTTTTGTAATTTTGCTTACATTTTTGTTCTTCATACACGCGGACGCAAGTGCACAAAGCAGATCTACGTAGGGTGTCGTGATGGATTCCGAGGCTGTGGTGGTCGCGCACTCGTGGTTATGGAGCAAGCTCTGTTTGCTTCAATCCATCTCTAATACAGAAGTGCACCAAGGCAAATTTGTGAATGAATATCGCCTTTTGAAGGCATGTCTGGGCTCAGTTTCCGTCGCAGAACACAGCACTCGTACAAGCCAACCAACTCTAAGAGTACTGCTGCGCCCTGCAGAAGGGCAAAGGATCATTGCAAAAGCTCAAGATGCATCAGTGGAAAAGATAGCTGTGGCAATATAGGTGCCCAGTGCAACAAAAAACATGGGTTCTGGTAATGTCTAGCTCCACTCCACGCAACTGCATATCCCATGTTTGCTGTGCAGTTCGCACGCTGCAGGGCTGGAGCATTCTGTAAGAAGTATCTAAAAGCAATCTAGTGCAAGTATTGTTTCAAGTTTATTTCGCAGTCCATGCACGCGTGCAGACGCGCCGGAATTAGCTGGCGAGGACATACGCAGGAACTGAGCAGCTGCGGTTCACTACAGTTGAGAGGTGCTCTTTGATCTTTGCAAATGATCAGCTTCTATTTAGAGCGCATGTTTTAATACTATGCATCTGGAAACTCATAGATACAGCCAGACACACACGCAGACGGACGCAAGCGGCAACAATGGTTGCGGACTATTCGAGGCCCTAGGTAGAGGAGGAGTGGGGTTGTGGCACAGATGACGAGTGGGACATGAAAAAACAATTTCTATACATAGTGTAGGACAGGCGTACAAAAGACACCTAACAAACTTAAAGGTCAAGGGAGCATGGTGAACTGACCCGAGACCACGAGCCCTCTCCCCATTCGGGTATTCACATTCCAAGGCATGGTAGTGCCGCCGAAATACCAGCACAGGGACGACAGTCTAAAAGTTGTCTTCTTCAAACGATAAATTGCAGAGCACGTTTTTTTTTAGTCCACGTGAACTATTAGACACACCCCACTCCGAAGCCGGTGAGGCACCATCTCGATGGCCCATGGAGTATATGAGCACCTTATTTTGTGGGACATCTTGGGAGGTTGGCGCATTTGACTGAATTTTAATTGATTGGGAATCCCACAGAGTATATACGGGGTGTTGTAATATTGGGTCAGGCTTACGGTGTAGCCCCAAAGCAACTGGCATCCCGCTTTGAGGCACGGGACCGAACGTTGGTTCAGTTAGCAGCACAACCCAGTAATCACACACAATGCGCACAGGCACCAAAATGCGGGAGAGCAGAGGCAAGCGCATTGCGGAGCGCGGATGCAATTGTTCGAAGAGTAGAGCCATGAGGAACAATGCTCTGCCATGACCTTCAGTGGATAAGGGAAATAGAGAGAGAACTGAGAAGCTTGTAGAATATGTAGAACAGTGCGCTCATAAACTCACTTCGCGTTAACGAGGACCTGCGAAGGGATCGCGGCGACACCCTGAAAGAAAAGAGCAATGTGATGTTAAAACCAATGCTTCAAAACATTGGGAAAAACGAGATGCTTATGGCTAGGGGCAGGACGACTGGTGGTAAAAAAGAATACATCATGCGGGAAGGAAATAAGCCACATGCAAACAGCCACACTCGTGTGCCAGATGATTCTAGATAAATTAATGGAGCTGATTCTAGATGAGCTAACAGACACGGAGCAGGCTGCTAGCTGTGAAGTGCAACTCGGCACACAGAAAAAGATCAGTTGTCGAGATGCGCATGGAAGCGTCAACCGATCTTGCCACTGGATTATGGGTGACGAGCTCACTAGCGAACACTGGTTAGTACTGTGTATTATTAGCAGCAGCACAAGCTGTTCCGTTAGTGTGGGCTGCTCTTCGTTGCAGAGCAAGAATGAACTCATTTGTTTTGCTTAGCTTGGTTTGTCAAACCGTGGTCCTATGACTACAGCTTAGAATGTACCACCTTCCTACGCTCTGTGCTCACTGCTCCCAACGGCGACAAGCCGTGCCTTGTCTACGGGGTGAATGAACTACCGGTGCAGCATGAATGCTTACAATTTCCTAGCCATTTCTTTGTCTAAGCTTCATGACAGTGCCGACACTGCAACGGCGTACAACTCGCACGGTAACATTGTGCCCCTCACTGGGCTGCGCTCAAAACCTCCTTGCTTGACAAATTCTCCAAACCTGCCAGTAGCAGAGTCTGGCAGAGTGCTAAGAGAGACGATTCGGCGAAAAGGTTGCGGCTCCAAACTCCTACGGAGCAGATACGCCGACTCAACAGGCTTCATCTAGGGAAGAGAAAACTACAACACCCATACTCTCATGACCTAGCCGATACAGGCCACAAACACGGGCAAATGTTTTAGTGCAAATGAAGCAGCTAGATAGTACGGCAAGCCCCAGTATACTGTGAGCAGCTCTATGGCTCGCTGCAGCTTGAGTGCTGCCAGCAGTCCGGCAACTGCCCAGCTAGGCTCCTGCGACGGTCAAAGCGCTCGCAAGAGGTGGCAAAGCAGCTTTGGTCCTCTCCTAGTTGCATATCAGGCATCAGAGCGAATGTATCCCCTCAACTGCTGAAGCTTGCAGAGGACGAGGACTCCACAGATAAGCAGGTGCCGCTGGGGTCCTGGGAGCTGAGTACAAGGACCTGCGCATAATAGAGTTGGTCGTGGCAGCAAAGCTACGTAGACACTGAGTAATAGGTATTGCAGAGATACAAGCGTTTGTGGGATTTTTGCTGGATATGGTTGTCTGGGCTCTGCTGAGCGGCGTAGCCTTCCAGTGTATGGGGCAGGCGCTGGTTCTGGCTACGCGCAGTGGAAAGGGCTAAATTCCCTCCATCTAGAACCACGTCTTTCTGTAGTTCAATCTCGTCTGTTTCACTAAATATTTTGGCGAGGGCACACGGGATAGGATAGGGCGTGGACCCAAACAATCTGGTACGAGAGTAATGGCGGTTACATTGAGCCGTACAGCTGGCCCTTTGGTCGGCGTGCTGAGTTTCATAGAGGTTTCGACAACCGAATGCACTTGCTAAGCAATGAATAGATAGTTCAGGAATCAGGAAGAAAACTTCATTCAATGGCACGAGAGTATCGAACGTAAGGGATGTGCGGGGGGTGACTAATGCCCAGATCAGGTGTCACTTCACTGGATGCACCGCGGGGTGAACTCTGAAGTGCCACAAGATGTTGGGCCTCCAGAGAAAGGTCCTCCATCCCCCACAATGTATTGTAATTAGGAATTGCATTAACCGAAATTGTGAATTAACCTCTCATAAGGGAGCAGCCGTCAGCAAGAGACAACGTTGTTCGCCTAACTCGATCTTCGAATCGAGTGCAATGATCTGGACATGCAGCAATAGTTTATTCGCGGATTCTACCATCATTTAGGAGTGCCACAAACGCTGTAATTCTATAACATCACTGGAAGATGGTCTGGCGTTCCCTTTCGCTCAAAAGGGCTGGTTGATATTGGATTTTACCGCGCGAGAACAACAGCCGGTCCGTGACCGCCAACTCGCAGACTGAAAAATATTGGAGAATTTCCGATCCCTTCCCCACAACTAGAGGTCTATCTTTCCTAGTTCAGCTCTTAAAAGTCGCACTAGGCAGGTTCTGGCTGGTTTTCAAATCGGTTACGACCCCACTGTCTTGCAAAGGAACGCTGGCTCGCAGATGCCTTAACTTGAGCAAGAAGGCGCTATTTTAATACATTACATAACATCCCGCCCTTTCCTGAGGCGAGGATGGATTTGAAGACATCCGCAGCTACTGAAATGGGCGCAGACGCACCGTGTGGTTACCAATTAACTGATGGATTGTCTGAAGGTCCTACAGGTGTGAGTCGCCAAAGTGTGCTCGACACGCCTCTACCGCATGTCGGTAGAGGCTGTTCGTCGGGGCTCCAGTTTCGTTGGGCAAAGGCACGTCCACCTTTCAAGGCCCCCTTCGCCCTGTCTTGGGCGATTCTGGCCTACATTTTGGGGATAGTGGCGATTATATACTTTTGTAGGTTTCCAAGGGGCGCACAAGGAAGTCTAAGAGCCCGGCGACTTGCAAGCTCCAATACGGAGGGTCTACGGAGTCTCTGCCTGGAGCTGCAGGAAGGGGAACTGTGGACCCTTCCCAGTACCTTTGACGCTACGTCGACAAGTTCGGGCAGCATCTTGCTGTCTCCAGAGGGCGGCTCCATGCAAGCACCAGAAGCGGAAACATACTTAGATGAAAATACTCAGAATGGCGCAGCGGACGCCAGTCTAAAGAGGCCCTTTGAAAATGTTGAAGACCAGCTTTGTGCGCCTGGCGCGAAAGTGCTGAAAGCCTCAGATCCACTGCATGTCCATCAATCTCTAGGCCTGCAAGAAACCCAACAGTCGGACATACATGACCATTTGCTGTTGGGTTCCTGTGCTGAAGACTTTGCACCAACAACGTGCCAGCACAGGTATACTGTGCACTCCAGTGGTCTACCTTGCGCAGATAAAGCCTTACTGTCGGGTCAACAAGACCTCATGCCGTTATCCACGCCTGAGCTCCAGCCATCTTCGCAAGACGCCTCTAAAATGTGGCCAGCTCACCTCACCGGACCTGAGCGCTACGCTGATGTGTATGTCGCGTATGAAGTAGAAGCCTCGCACAGCACACACCCACCCGGGCTAGAACAGCATGTTGAGGGAGCTCCTTCAGTGTATTCACACCCAGTTGAAAAGTTTCGACAGCAATTTGACGAGGATGTCTTAGATCAAGTGGCATTGCCGAGCACAATGCAGGCCACATTTCAACCCAAAATTTCACCACAAGAGGCTTTGCGCGGAGCCTTTTCAATATCTTCAGACCAAGTCAACACACCTCAGCAACTACCTATGCAGGAATCTACCGCTTTGCACGGAGCCTTTTCAATATCTTCAAACCAAGTCAACACGCCTCTGCAGTACACCGACACTCATGGCGCACATGGAAGGGGTCCTTCAGAAGAAACACTGTTTATTTCGTCGGAGGCTGAGCAGCAATTCCCTATGCAGGGATCTACTGCTTTGCACGGAGCCTTTTCAATATTTTCAAACCAAGTCAACACGCCTCAGCAGTACACCGATACTCATGGCGCACATGGAAAGGGTCCTTCAGAAGAAACACTGTTTATTTCGTTGGAGCCTAAGCAGCAATTACCTATGCAGGGATCTACTGCTTTGCACGGAGCATTTTCAGTATATTCAGGCCAAGTCAACACGCCTCAGCAGTACACCGGCGCACATGGAAAGGGTCCTTCCGAGGAAACATTGTTCGTTTCGTCGGAAGCTGAGCAGCAACTACCTATGCAGGGATCTACCATGGCTTCATATGAAGTAAGCAAATCCCAGCAAAGACATGACGAGCATGCTACAAGTGAGGACGTATATTCGAGTCGGGCATCAGCCACTCAGATAGCATATGAGCTGCAACTGTATTTGGAGGAATCCTATACGCCGTCTCCAGGTAGTGCCAATGAACCTCCGCAGTATACTGTTGTCCATGATATACGTGAAGTAAGTTCAGGTTACCCGGGGCTCACGCCGCCGTTGCAGAGTGAGCAACAGCTGCATGCTCGGGGAAGCTTTACGGTGCGTTTAGAGCAGGGCGCTGGTTTTTCAAACGAAGCTGAATTACATGCCCCGCAGGGATTCAGCGGAACTCAGGAGCAAAAAGTTTCCACGCAGGGCAGCGAAGAAAAAGTTTCGCATCACCCACATCTCGCAGCGCTGCTTTTTGGTGGAGACGAATCATCTAGTATGGGCGAAGCGTCTCACTCTTCCAGTTCCACCGACCTTGAGGGTAACGACGAAAAGGAAGAAGACCCGCCTGCTTCACATATGCACTGCGCCACGCTAAGAAAAATGTTATTAGCAAAACCGACTGGTGCAAACACAATAGAGAGAGAACTGGCTGCGCACCCGTATGTTCGTCTACCTCTCTTGGATTCTGGCGTGAAACTCCCGCCTTCCTCTGAACCCTCTCCACGTTGTACGACGTGCCCGCGGTTTTTAGCCCGTGAGCTTCTCATCCTCCGCAACATTTTTCGAAGCCCTTTCATAGGCTTGCAGCAAGCAAGACAAATAACGAGGATTGCATCAAGATTGGAGTTCCACGCACGTACCTTCATGGTCAACGAACCGCCGAGCAGACCTTCCGCAGCCGTGGAAGTGCTAGGGCGCCGGTTCCTTATGTTGAACGCAATATATTCGATAAAAAAGGTTCTCGGTAATCAGGTGCAGTGGGATAATTGGTTTTCGCACCTCGTCAGAGACGTGCCAACCGACTACACCCAGGTGCCTACACCGACAACGGCTGACTTTTCTCTTGCGCTTTACTCCTTTGCAGTGGAGTTGAGTGCTGCAATGAAACTGTATAGAATGGGCAGTGCGCCTTCTGATGTAACAGTGCTCCGCATTAAGCAGAAGCTTTTTTGTTCGCCAAAAATTCCAAGGTGCTTTCGAAAGGAAGAATGGGCTGCCTTCCGCTGTGACCATTACACCCCAGGAAGTCCATGCGAGAGTTGAGACTACGCCCTTAGGCCACTTTGAGCAAAGGGCAACTGAACCGCCCACCACTGTCCCTTCTGCAGGAAATTATACTAAGCAACAGGTGCCAGAGTGTGATATTTGCCAAGCCCTACTTCGAGCTGTGTCCACTCGTTGTTCAACAGAGTTTGCGCCGGACTTCCTGGATCCTATTTCCAGCATTTTTCATCATCTGCCTGCAGCTCTCTCCGCTAGCTAGTAGCTTGTTTCACCATGTAGGGTCATCCTGATGATGGTAATTTGTCAAGCAGGGTCTCCTTATATCAATGCAGGGCCTCTTCTTCAATGCGACGGCAAGAGGCCGTGTAACGCACGCCTCGCAGACGCCTGATACTGCCGTTCATGTCCTCATGTACGCGTGAAGTGCCCACAGCAGCGGCTTCATAGTCTTGGCCAACGGCCCCGCCACGTCAACCCACACAGCACACGTTTGACAAGGTTGCCGGCGTACGTCTCAATTAGCGGTGCTGCCCGCTTCATGCGACTCATGCATTCTGATGACATTCTGGAAGCCACAGCTACGAACTACCCTGCCTTTAACTTAGGCAAACTCATACGCGATTTTTTTTTGGGTCCCCACTACTTTGTAACAGCACGCCACTCACCTACTCAAGCAAACATCTGCAGCAAGTATAGGGCAAACTAGCCACTGCCTCTTTAAGCCTTACGCTCCACCCACTGTGGCGAATGAGCAAGTAAACAGCTCGTACCTGGAGCCTTCATGCTGCCACACAAATCTCCGGTACAACCAGCTTCTGGTGCGGCTGCTATTCGCTGTGGAACCAACCATGCAGGGCTGTTCCCTGTCTACGCAAATCTGCACGGAATACTGGTTTTACTTACGTTCCACCACTGGTTGCAACAAAGCACTGACTTCTCAAAGTACCCCAGACACGCAGTTGCTGAGGCAAGCGAATGGGGAGACAACGGCTACGCTTGCTTTCACTGCTGGAAAGCAGACAGCTCGCCGCTGTACCCGCAGCTGCAAACAAGCCTGAAGTAGCTCAGGTTCCGTGCTGCTGCTACGGAAGCAGCTGATGTCACGGCCGAAGATTTCGCTGCTGCAACATTCATTGAGCTGCAGCTGCAGCAGCAGTCCGCAGCGGCAATATGCGGCGCCAGCCCGTAGCAGCTGCGCACGCCATAGGAAGTGCCGTGGGCCTCGCCAGCTATTAGCTGCCCACGAAGTCTTCCCATGCGTTCGAAGGTAAAAATGCTCAGCGTAACACCCGGCGCCGGATGTTGCTGCTACTGTCCTTTCATGGAATGTGAAGTGGGGGTTTGCGCTAAAAGCCGCAACAGCAATATAAGCAGAAATGCCAACTAGGCCATAAGCAATGACACAGCCATACCAGTTGAAGCTGCATCATTGACTCCGGCCGTGTCGTCATCTGTTGCTATTGCTGCGCCTGCAATAACCGAATTTGCACGTCGTCCACCGCAAGAGACCCTGCTACGGTCAACTTTGCTTCGGCTCTCCAACTGCAGTGGACTGCAAGCATCGGAGCTCATCCACCTACTCCTCCTACTCTGAAAAGGGTTCCCATAGCAATTGTGCTGTTTGCTGCTGTTTCTACAGAGAAGGAAGCATCGTGCGTTCGCCGATACACTGCATACCACTTGCTGATGCAGCATTTGTACCTCCTGAAGGAAACCCGCAGCAGCAGCACCTTTGTAAACGGCTAAGCAAGTGGCCTCTCCGCACCATTTCCTGGTATTCCATTAGCCTGACATTCCTAGATGTTGTTTCCACTGACCAAAAGTCTGATGCGGCGGTGTACAGTTTGACGAAGGAGGCATCAAAGCCAACCCTCCCATTCCCGGTAGCATTGTCATGGGCTGCATGCTGTAGTCGGGAACATAATCATTGGGGGCGCTTTGCTGCAACTGCTGTTGCTGCTGTTGCTGCTTGTCCAGCTGATCTAGTCGTGTAGTGACATCTCGCACAACCTATGTCAGATACCAAAGCAAAAGTCGGTGACAACTGCGGCATTAAATATTCGATTTCTAAAGCCCTACACACTGTAGCCTTCCCTAGCCTAATATTCCTTACATGTATGAGGTAAGGCATAATGAAATCCACAACTTTGTGGCGCCAGGCGAGCTCCAATGCCACATCTGGCTTCACAAGGTCGCAGCAACTGTGTAGGCAAGCTGCGAACGCTTCAGGATCTTTCGACTCTGTCAGGAAATACCTTCAAACAAGACATCCAGACGCAGTTCCAATTCTCAAATGATCAATACTATGAGATTATCTTTCAATGCAAATGCACCACAGCAACGGCCAGTCAACGCTTAGCTGCACCCGAAGTACTGGCGTTTCGAGTTAGCACGACGCGGAGGATGAACGCAAAATTTGGCGTACTTCAGCAAGTCTTCAACTAGCTGGGCGCTGCCTGACTCCTTTGCTGTATCTATGCAGTCCTGGAGCTGCGCATCTTTCTTGGACAATTCGATTGCCAGAGAATACTTTCTGTTTTTCTGGTACAAAAGCGCTGCAATCCTGAAACGCAACAACAATCGTTCAACACAGGGCTTCTGCGCTGCTACTACTCGCCACCCCAATGCATGCAACTACGGCTTGCTAACGTTCCAATCAATCATCACAAAATGTCACCTTAACCTCTGCAAGCAACCACAGGTGCACCTCACGCTGATGGCTACTATGAACTGAAAAGAGGAGCTCCCTTACTCCACATGCGTGAAGTCCAAGGATGATACTGGTGGCTAACCTGCGCATGCCAAGTTCTCTGTGAGACTCAAGCTGTTTCGCTAGACCCAGCTGATCAAAGTTGTCACACTCGAAGATGAGCTCTCGTATGCGTTCTTCGTCTTGTGCAGCCACAAGTAGCTCGAGCATGGCTTCGTTAACCGCTGCAACGTTTAGTGGCAGCTGCTCTTGTAAATATTTTTCTATCAATGGCAAATGCCCCGCCTTGCGGAGCTGCTGCACAACCCGTGAATGATCTACTTTCCTGTCCATCCCCTTGAGCAGTGCACAGAGCTGTAGCGGATGCTCCTCCAAGTAGAAAGAAATTGCGTGGTACAGCAACTCTACATTGGAGACTTTTTGGATGACCTAAAGTGGCAACAAGAAAACTGTTACAAGGCCATTAGGTAGAAGCTTCTGCCACACTCCTTCCAACTGCCCCACGAAATGATTTGTGAGTGTATCGTTAGTTACATGGATATTAAATACCTTGTAATTCCACAGCCCTGCGCCTCATATTCAAGGCCACCCAACATATATTGCAATTAGCGTACAATGCAAAGGAAGACAAACCTGAATGAACTGGTCATGCTGCCAGGCCGTAGGGTGAAGTATCATGCAGTTGGCCGCTTGCTCGTACTCATCGTAGATGGTATGTAGGTAGACTGCTTCTTTCCATAGGCAACATTTCTCGCAAGTTCGAATAAGTCTTGGAATATTCATCCGTCCCTTGTGCTGCCTACAATGATCCATTAGCTTAGTGCTGTCGTAAGTAGCATACAGTACTCCTAACTCAGTGAAGAGACCCACGTGAGTCCGCTCTCCCTGGGCGCCTATTTCCTGAAAGATAAAAACAAAAGACGGCTCACCCTGAAATCGGCAGAAACCCAAATGGCCTCTGCGACAGCTCGTCTATACCAGAGCTCACCAGAAGCTCCATCAGTTCCTTGTGAAGGCCCCATCTCTCGTACTCTTCCACTAATGCATCAAGGAGGTCAGGGTGGGCAATCAGTTGCAGACCAGCCGTGTGCGCACACTTTATGTCCCCTTCATCCAGAGCTCCAAAGGCCACTTCCTTCCACGTCTTGGGGTTTTTCGCCTTTCTTGCGGCATCAACGGCAGCCCCAAAGTCCCTCATCCTCACGAAGCAGCTCGCCAGCTTGCTATAATTTGGTAGGCTCTGGTACAGAATTTTGGCAGCCTAGGGAGTAGCAGGAGGAAGAACAGGGCACAAATTGCAAATAAACCTCAGTCGAAGAAGGTTCCCCGAAGAGCAATCTGCCTGTTCCAGCGCTACAGAAAAGTACCTGGAAATTTCGCTGCTCGAACAGTCTGTCCCCTATGGCCTGCACATTAGCCGTGTTTGGCCCATTCAGGAACATTTCCAAGTCTTCAAGCCTTTCCGTCATTGCATAGGAGTATAGGAGCTCAGAGTCCAGTGTTTGGTCCTTAACGGAAATACTCTTGCGAGCCATGAGAAGGTAGTCCGCCAAAGCTTCGAAAGCCTGCTGTTCGGTGGCCTTCTCCACAACTTCTCTAAAGACGTCGCCGTCGTTCGCCTTAATTAAAGAGTCTACAGCCTCAACTACACGCCCCTGGCGCAGCTGCGCCCTTCCGAGCTTGCGCCAAACCTCAGCATTGCCACAACGCTGCGCGAATTCCTGTGCTCTTTCCAACTCCTGCTCGCCCCCTTCTGCGGCAGCCTCTAGTAGAGTGTCTGCTGCCTCTGCCAACAACCCAAATTTCCTGTAGATCGTCAGTGCTTCCTCCCTTAGACCATTCTCCAGAGCCACCTGGGCAATTGCCTTGCCGTCGAAGTTCTGCAGCCTGTTGATGTATCCCATTACCCGTGAAGGCTCTGCTTTAATGGCTGTCAATATTAACAAATTTTGCAGGTTCTGGTTCGAACTGAAGTCGCTGTTATGCAGCACTATCTTCTCAAGCAGTTCCGTGAGCTCCTGTGGCAGCTGAGCGCTAATAAAGGCATTTACAGCTGCCGACACCTCATCAGCAGATGAGGACTCGGGAAGGGCTGAGGAGACCACCTGATCTATCACCGACCGCCGGTAACTGTTCTCAGGTCTCAGCACGTAGGCCCACAGCTCCGCACACTGGCGCTCCACAAGATATCTGCATGTGAGCAAGAAAAGCAATAAGCACAATCTAGAATAACACAGCGAACAAACTGATGAAGCGCGTATGTCGTTAGGGCGACACTTCCGCGCTGCACAAATGATTGCAGATCGAATGGCTTATTTACCGAGCCTGAAGCCTGAAGAGACCGTTCTTGTTTGTCAGCTCGACGAGTTGGGTGTCACAAGGTCCCCAAGCTCTTTTGTATGCAATGTAAGCCAGATGCGGGTCCCTCTCTTCGCAATATTTGCCGACTTCCATTGAGTCATAAAAAGCATTCGTCTTTAGAAAATTCTCAGCATCGCTGAACATACCCACATACGCAGCATCCCTGTCCCGCTGACCCTTCCTTGCCCTACACGACTCCAACCCACCAACTTGCGAGAGCTAGCCAGAACCTGTAATGGGTGGCTCTAGGTGCATCGAAATGCTTTCACAGGGCTCTGAGCGCCTCATGCGCCGAAAATAAGACCTCAAACAACTTAGATACCAGTCGACACTGCAACCGCAACACGGCTTCTGCATCTTAAGTGGCATCTAACCGATTGGTGTCGATAAATATCTTAGCTAGGGCATTGTGGACGGCGGGGTCCTGACTGCCCTCGGCAACGCGCTGCTCGAGCCACTGCAATAGCAGCCTCAGCCTGTTCCTTTTTTCGACCTCCTCCACTAGCTGAGACGCGTTACAGTTCCCGCGGACAGCCTGCAACAGCTGCTTGATGAAGTCCTCCGGGGCGTCCAGATCAACCAATGCACCAACTACTAAGGGGGCGTTTGCCGAATTCACCCGGGAAACATACACTTCAATGTACCTCAATAAAGAATGCTTATAAAGGTACTCTGTCAGCTCACCAACGAAGCCGTGCAAGTCACACACGTATATTAGGGGCCTCGGGTCGCTCAGCTGTGCTTGCTGTGAATCGCAACACAGAAATATCTCAAGAACACTGGACATGCCCCGGATGCTGCACTGTAGAAAACGCGTCTACAGCAACGAGCTAAAAGGCTCCCCACAAACGGAGACATATAACATGCAGCCAACAAGGCATGTTTGCACTTGTGAGCCCAGAAAACTATGACGAAAAACTGCGCACTGAGTTTGTTTCCTGCTGGCGCGTCGCACTCTACCGAGGTCCATTAAACGACAAAGACGAAGAAGCCTGTGAGGACGTACCTTGAGAAACTCTTTGACACGTTGGGGTTCGTAGTACTTGCCTTCCCGGCAAACCCGCTCCACCTCTTGAGTGTGGTTCAGCTTTGCTGCCGCCTCTATGTATTTAAAGTGCACTTCTGGGTCAGTGGAGAACGCTAGGATGGAGCCCAGGAAATAGAATATGCCTTCGTAACTACTGAAGCGCTCAAACATGGCGATCAGTCTCTCCATTCCCAACTGCTCATGAAATTTGATGGCGACACCAACAACAGCCTGCAGATTCTGTGAGGAGGAGCGAAGCATGTCGGTTAAGATTTCGACACAGATGTCCGGTGACATGCGGCCGAAAAACTGAGCCATCCACTCCTGCGATATCTTTCCTCCTGTTTGCAACAGTACGCGCTTCACGTCAGCCAGCTCAGTGTAGTTCTCAAGGGCTCGTTGGTACAGTCCTGCAGCTTCACATAAGGCCCCCACTTTCTGCCGGTCGTAGTGTGTCAGCATGTCCATTTGAAATATGGCCTCTGCAACCTGCGGGGAATGCTTCAGGTTGATCTCGAAAAGACGAGTCTGCAGGGGCCCCTGCTCTGGCTTATTTCCCTTCAGGTATTCCAGTAGCAATGACGAAAGCTCTTGGAAGCGCTGCTGCTGCAACAACACCTCCACCACTTGGTTCGGATCAATCAACGGTGGGTCTGTCGCCAAAAGTTTCTGGGCGAACGCGACAGCACCCTCTGGATTGGTCGTCAGCATCGACCGCAGCAAGGCAGAATAGTCCGCCTGCATGCGGGTTTGCGTGGCATACTCCAACAGCTCGTCGGTCTTGCCTTGCTCCATCAGCATAAGCATGACCTTTTGGCCTGCTCTCGCTTTCTTGTACACTTGAGTTGCAAGCGCTACATCGAGAGGTCTCACCGCATCCCCTAGTTCCTCGGTGCACTCGAGCTTATCATCTCTCAGCCAAGTTGTGATAAAGTCCTTCCTACCTTGAGCCACCACAGGGCGCACAAGCTCCAAGCTCTCTACCGCATTCAAAGATCCATACTCAAGAAGAGTGGAGAAATACAACAAGATAGCGGAAGTCTGTCCCGACTGTGCAGGGACCCCCTTAAACTGCTGCAAAACCTGGGGGGTCCGAAGCCGCCCCGATTTCAGAGTGGCGCAAATGCGTGCGGCTCCCCTGTAATCACCGCTGGCGAAGTGCTGGTTGAACGCCTGCAAATCATGCACATAGAAATGAACAGCCAACACTTCAAGGCCCACTGGAGTTGCCAAGGAAGCATGAAAACAATCGCTGGGCGAAAAGGAAAGAGGGCTGCCTCAAGAATGGGGGAAAGCGCAATAATCGCTTCGTACGGACCTGAACAAGGGTCTCATCAGCTCCAGGAAGGCCATAACGTTTAGCAAGACTGAGGTAGATCTGTGCTCTGTTAGGCTGGGGCAAAGCATGCTGCATGTAGGGTCCCAAAAGGCCGACATTAACTGTAGTGAGAGCAACCAAGCCTTTTTTATGGACAGTAATAACGCCCCCCGTCTGAGGCGAGTCCGATGTAAGGAATACGGGGTCTTGCGATATGCGGTGCCTCAACAGTTGAGTGCCCGTGAGGCCATCAAACAATAGCAGGAAGCCCCCTTTGGTTACCAGAAAAACAAGGCCAAGCTTCTTGCTTAGGTGAACAGCCAGCGGGAAGTCTGAGGGAGCATCAGGAGACAGGGCGATGTCTGTACACACGCGCAAGGGGGCTTTGCCGTCTTCTCTCTTTGGCGCCAGGTCCCTTATGTGAAGCTTAAATTCTGGGCTTCCCCGCTTCTTCTCGGAGAAGCAAATGACTGGCTGTGGGCCCACAGCCTCGTCTGCCACTAACCCCCCGAAGCAGGCTGCGTGCCCCTCGAGCTGTTGGTGTTTCTTCAGCTCCATTGAGTACAGCTGCAACGAGCCGTCGATTGTCTTTCCCCCATCTTGGGTACTGATGCCTGTCAGAACGCACCACTTCATGTCCTTGTCTGTAGCGTAGCCGATGATCTGAACACCCTCCGCGAGTCGGCCCTCCCTCTCACAAATCTTCTGGGGTTCTGACGCCTCCGCCCCCTCTCCCAGCGTCCAGTGCCAGACGGCTTTGTCCGTTACTAAGGCGAGGATTCGGGGCGCCACCCAACGCCAATATACAATCGGCTCCGACATTGGAGCCGTACCCATCCGCGCTTTTGTCTCCAGATTCAAAACCTGCACTAACTGCTGCGCACACTCCGCCTTCGCCCTTAGAGCCACTATGGGATCCGTGGGGTGGTGAAGCGCCGCCTCCGCTTGCGTCGGCTTTTTTGACACGGAGTATGCAGTGGGGCCACCGGGAGCCTCCAAAGCATCCTTGAGGTTCATCGACACAAAGTACAGTTCACTGCTCTCCACATCACGAACCACCAAATGCTTGTCTCCTTCCACCGCCACATTGCCAAACCTAAAAGAGGCGCTCTTTACCCCAATGTCCCCCAGCTGCACCGCACAAGAACTACAGAGAATGTTGTAGATCTGAATGATTCATAAATTTCAGATAACGGTCTTGTGCACGTTACCCACCCGAAGCATGTGCCGTGGTAAACACGCACCTAATGCACGACCCACAGGCGCATGCGCAAGACTGTGACACTATGAGCGTGCCATATTTGTAGTCACAGCGCGTGCAGTGTTCGAAATGAGAAGAACAAGGGCCTTACATTTACGATCGGGGTGAGCTGTATGGGCAGCTGCTGCGCCATTTCGCAACGGTCACGCGAATTAAAACGAAGTAGAATAGTAGCTGCGCGCCGCACGCACAAACAAGCACATGCACACAGACACAAAGAAAGGCAGGGACATAAATACACGCACACATACACATAAACACATGCATGCGTGGAACTCCAGATATTTGCGTAGCCTTCCATGTAAACTCTCACCGCCAGATATGCCTGTACGCTGACAGGCAGTGAACCATATGCACAAGCTCTCCACAAGCTAAGAAGTGGCGGAGCCTTTATTACACCAGCTGTCTAGAGGGCAGGGGGAAACCGCCTCCCCTCTCACTGCCATGTGTAGCTGGTGGATCTGAGTCTCGAACCATCTTGTCATGGGGGGTTCCTACGTGCCACCTCAGCCCTGCTCGACCTCAGCCTACCAGGGCGTGTCCTCACTTAATAAATGAACCAGGCAGTCATGCGGCGGCTGCTTCATGCCGCCTCAAAAAATGTTGTTCATACCTTAAACCCCTACGGCCTCCCGCGGACGCGAACTGTCCCAAGGGCTTCTACGAAGGAATACTGGTTAGCGATTAGTGATAAACTGGATATTACTTACTTCGAAACTCAGCCTATTAAACGGCGAGGCGCAGGGAGCAACTGGAGGACGGCCCCCCAGCTGGAGCTGCTGCAGCTTTGAGGGAGACCCTTTATCTCAAACCTCTCAATTGACACCGTCTCCTTTTTGGATCTTTTCTTTGGTAGTCTTGTAAGACTTGCTGGCGAAGCAGCATCAGACAGCCACGAGGGGAAGCAGCAGCCGACCGGCTGAGCGCTGCTCTCTTCTTTGTGCAGCCTCCGTCCCTCAGTCCACGGTCTCTGAGACCTATTCCACACCAACGAGAGGCTAGAAGGAAAGGTTTTCATGCGAGAAGGAATTTGTGGAGATCAGGACAAGAAAAAGTTAGCGGCAGTAACAGAGCTTACCGCTGCGCTGCAGCCCTCCTCGCCCCCGCCTCGTAAGGTTGGGTGACACGACTCCCTCTCAGCAACTTGCCATGTGCTGTAACCAAAACAGATATAAGAATGCAACATCGCAATGTTATATGACATATATATACTTTTCATTTAAGCCCGAAGGGCCCACAACTTGCAGCACACGCACTGCTCTATCTACATTCAGCAGAAGGCTGGCCTCTGAATGATGGCCTGTGTGAGCTACCCACAACATCGCGCATGCCACAGGAACTCAGTTCTGGCAATGTCCACTGTAGATTAACAACTGTCGTGTGTTGCTGAAACTATCGTTAAAAGATTCAAGAGGCCATACACGCCGCCGTAGTGGGCAATGGTGTAGAAAGGGACAAAACGAAGTGGAGTTTGCTCAGAAACACGAGCTCACAAGGCGTAATCTAATGGTGCAGGAGAGGTGCTGGATACGCAGTGCAAGCGGCAACAAGGCACTCAGGAGCCCCGCCTCGACTCTGATAGTTAGTGCCGTCAAGTGCTCGTCGTAGGGCGCTTTTTGCGCCTTTAACGCGTATATTGAGCACTAACTGCCTTCATTTTGAGATTTGGCGGCGTCACGGCGTCACTGCGACAATCGAGACTCTCGCGACCGGCTCAGCCCCAGGAGCTCCATTGACCTTCCGGGACTCTGGTATATGTACCGATTTTTCTCGGACGTTGCTTATGCCTGACAACCCGTAGAACGGCCCTGTTTCGAGCACCTACGGGTAACTTCTTCTATGAAGCACCCGTGGGCTGCTTGTCCCTGTGTATGATGCAATCATCAGTGTGGTGCCTTGCGCTGCTCAGAGCATTCGGGACGTTATAGCTGTGCAGAATTCTGCATTTAGCTGTTGCCTTTGTCTTACTGGCAGTAACGCTGCCGTAATTGCTACTGCTAGTAAAATGGTTCTCAGCAAAGCATGAAACTGGATTAAGTGGATACTGTTAGAATAAAACTTCTGCGGCACAGATTAAAAACCAGGCGTAAAATCTTATTCTGCAGTTTCACTGGAAATACAACAGATAAAAGTAAAGTGATAGATGCAAAAGACCACTTGAGGCCACCTCTCCACTTGGGAAGAACTCTCCAAGAACTCAAAGCTGTAGCGTTACAAGGTGTGTGAGCCACCCAAACAAATATCTCACAGAGACGTAATAACAGTTACAAGTGTTGTGTAAAGGGCGTCTCCATGAATGCTGGAGCACGAATCCGCCTCCTGCAGGCCCCAAAACTCCAAGGACAACTTGCAAGTGGAGAAAACGTGCCTCTTAAAACTATGGTGTTTCTAAGCCTAGACTTTTAGGCGATGCGGCAGGGAGTCTCATGAGGCTGGTAGGTCTACTGGTTGTAGAAGTGGATGCTGCTGTGGTCTTTGGGAAAATTGCAAGAAACCAACCAGGCCAACGGCGCTTGCTTCCTGTGGTACTCTAAAGATAGTACGCCGCTGTTAATTTCTAGGAATAGCACTTAATGAGCTACTGTGGAATTCTAAGTGTCTATGACTCCTCACAGTTGCTGGTTGTGGAGGTCCAGAAATCCTGATTGATGCTGTAGTGCGTAGGCATTACAATAGGGCTTACTGCTAGACAGCTTAGCTCGGTATGGGATGCACCTACGCAATGGACGCGGTATTGGTCGCACTCAACAGGAGACGTGTACAATGTCCGTAAGCAAAATGCTCAGTGGGACACCAGCCCACCATCATCATGCCACTCCAGAACCCTCCGTAGCAGAGCGGCCACATGGGCATAAGGAGGTGGCCCAACAGGTGGCACCTATAACCAATGTTGCCGCCGCGCCAGGAGACAGTCCGTACGTTACATGGGACCAACTCTACTCCGCGATGGCTGTGATGAGGAATATTATGGGCGGGCCCTGGGAATCGGGCACAACGTTTCCCATACTACCGGAAGATGGCGGCACTGTGCAGGCCTTTTTGCTGCGCATCTGTAGTGCACAGGGACTACAATAGGGCTTGCTGGTGACCTATAGAAGACAGCTAGCTGGCGACCTACAAGAGGGCATAACGCTGAACGAGGACAGGACCTTTTTACTAGTATCGGAGTAAGGCAATTTGTTGGCAAAATAGCATGTATACACTAGACGTATCTGTAAATACCTGGAGATAGGGGCTGGCGATAGCGCCGGCACCGGTGCAGGCCTGCTCTGTAGTGCACAGCGCCTACTGCTGCGACTACGCTGCTAACTGCCCCCTCGAGCAGGGGCCTATGCTTGGCACCTAACGTTGGCCCATTTCCTTGAAACAGTTGCCCATGTATATCGAATACAGTTATTCTTAGTCCAAAATCTGTTGTTTTCAAACCCGTCCCACTTGGGGTGCTTGCCTCCTAGGCCCTGTGGGGAGGAGGCCTGCACTGGTGCCTGCACTATCGCCAGCCCCAGTCTCCACGCATTTTCAGGCGCCTCTAGTGTATGCATGTTAATTCGCAGACAAATTGCCTTATTTTGATCCCAGTAGAAGGGTCCTGTCCTCCTCCAGTGTTGCGACCCCGTGTAGGTCGCTAGCTAGCTATCTTCTATAGGTCACCAGCAAGCCCTATTGTAGTGCCTGTGCACTACAACTCCCCCCCTTGCCGGACTGAACAGACCTACCCAAAACACATTATTTTTGTCTTTTCTATCTCTATGCTCTTCTAAAGCTAACGCTGTGAGCGCACGCGGTGCGCAGCGCTCCCTCCCCCCTCCTCATTGAAGGGTGCCCGTCCCGCAGGCGGCGGAAGGTGACGGACCCATACCTCTACGCCTCAAAAGGACCAAGATTGTTTCGAGCCTGAAGACGTCTTCGTTGGCGGCGGCGCCAAGCGCGAAGCAAAGCCGGGTAGCCTGCGAGGTGGTGAGCGGGCTCGCATGTGGCTTGATTGATCTTCAGGGGTCCTGCGCCACTTCACGAGGTACTGGGCTGCATCTCCCGAGCCGCGTTGGTCCATAATATAGTCGACTTCGTATTTCTCTGTGGGATTGCCCGCTGCATCGCGGATAGGAGGCCAGGCGGCGTCGGCTTCCGGGGGAACCAAAGCGGGAGGGCGGGGGCGGTGGGGAACTAGCTGCAAAGCGTGGAAAACGTTATGGCATTCATAGGTGGGAGGCAGCGCGAGACGGCAAGCGACAGTTCCTATGCGTTCGATGACTTCGAAGGGTCCACGGTAACGGGGTTCGAACTTAGGGCAGCTGTTGAAAGGCGGTAGGTGCTTGCTGCTGAGCCAGGCCTTGTCTCCCATTGCATACTCCACTGCTCGACGCTCTGTGTCTGCGTAGTACTTCTGCTGCCATTTTGCCTTCAGGATGTGACTCTGTGCTCTGTCACAAAGCTGCTGGAAAAGCTGAGTCATCGGAGGAGCTAACGCGCCTACGATATCAAGGTTCGCAGCAGCAACGGGTTCTCGCCAATCATGACCTCAAAGAGAGAGAGCTCAATGGATGAATGACGTGTTGTCTTGTAAGCAAGTTCCAAGGCCGGAAGCAAACGCTCCCACTCGCGTTCGTCAGACTTGATATAGGTACGAAGCATCTGCTCCAGTGTGCGGTTAACTCGTTCAGTGTGGCCGTCGCTTTGAGGATGGTAGGACGAGGACATGCACCGTTTGATGTTAAAGCGGCGACAGAGTTGGTTCCAAAGATCCGACTGGAAGCGGGGGTCGCGGTCCGATATGAGCACCTCTGGAAAACCGTGATAGCGGATAAGACGGTCTGCGAGAAGCTCCACGGTGTTTGCTGCTGTGAATGACTTCTTTGCAGGAACGAAATGAGCCATCTTGCTGAGGGAGTCGACCATGACAAGAATCGAGTCGTGCCCTGTCGTTCTAAGGGGAAGATTTGTGATAAAGTGGAGACTTACGTGCGCACATCGACGAGAAAGGATGAGCAACTGTTGAAGAAGGCTTGCAGGCTTCTGGTTAAGAGAATTTGACGCTCGACAGTGAGTGCATGACTCTACATAAGCAATAGTGTAGGCGCGCATTCCTGGCCAGTAGTAGTGCTTGCTGAGAGTCGCAAAGGTCTTTTTCTGGCCTCGATGGCCGGCTGTGACATGGTCGTGATGTGAATGCAGAACTTGAGTAAGGAACTCAAGGAATTGTGGGACGCAGATGTGCCACAGTCCATGAACGCGGATGTGCAGGTAAGGCTGCACGTGGCGAAAGGTGAATTGGCGATTACAAAACTCTATTTGCAGATCTTCTCTTGGCTGGTTTGCTGCGGCTTTGTAGGGAACGCGGAAAACGGGACACGTCGAGTAAGCTTCCGGCCATTGGCAGGAGGGTCAGCTGGTATCTTCGTTGTGAGTGTGGGACGTTCCGCCTCTAGATTGGATTCCGGCGGCGCAGGTGAAGGTGCGGACGGCAGGCTGCGTCATCTGGGTCGTCGCGAACGAATTCCGGCGAGCTCCCTGTAGTTGGCAGGCCGACCACGAGAGCGGGAGCCGCGCTCGCTGGTCCTACTGCGAGCATCAGTGGTGTCGATGGTGTGTCGTGCGAGCAGGTGTTAGAAAGACCGAGAAGGCGAGACAAGGCATCAGCAACTTGATTGCGCGCTCCTTGAACATCAGTGATGTGCAAATCCGGGAACTCCGCAAGAAAGTCCAGCCACCGGGCGGTGTGCCCGCGCAGAGGCTTCGATGCTTGGAGTTGTTGGGGATGGGTTAGAGCTTGATGATCAGTGTAAGCCATTAGCTTGGAGACACGTAGCAAGTGCGACCACTTGTCCAGTGCCATGACCAACGCCAAGAGTTTCTGATCGTAGATCGAGCATCTCTGTTGCGTGGGGTTCATGACTTGGCTGCGGAAGCCGATGGGCTTTCCGTCTTGTTCCAGAACTGCTCCGATCGCATAACCAGAGGCATCCGTGTATAACTCGAAGGGTTTCGTGGTGTCAGGGACTTGTAATGTAGTGAAGTCGATTAAGCGCTGTTTGAGCTGCCGCACCGCTTGCGTGTGAAGCTCTGTCCATTCGAAACTGACGTCTTTACGCGTTAGAGCAACCAGCGGCCGGGCAACGTCTGCATAGTCCGGTCCCATGAACATGCGAGAGTAATTTATAGTACCGAGGAACTGGCGCACTTGCGTTTCGTTCTCCAGCACCTCTGGCCAATGCCGGATGGCTGCGATTTTATCTTCTGCGGATTTGATCCCAGTAGCAGAAATGGTATAACCCAAATATGTAATTGTTTGCCTTGCAAATTTGCATTTGCGGAACTTTGGGTAGAACTGGTGTCTAAGAAAAATGTTTAGGAGTTGTCGCAGAAGAGAAACGTGCCCAGAGAGGTCAGAACTATAGATAAGTACATCATCTAGGTACGCAATAACGCCCTGGCCCAATAAAGGTTGTAGATAGGCATTTATATTGGCCTGGAACGTAGCGGGAGCACCCTTAAGGCCGAAGGGCATCACGCGGTACTCGAATAGTCCGAGAACGGACCGGAATGCCGTCTTCCACCGGTCTTCGTTAGCCATACGCATTTGATGGAATCCTGCTTCAAGGTTGAAAGTGGAAAAATACTTGGCGCCTCCCAGCAGCTCCAGAATGGTTTGAATGTGAGGTAGTGGAAAATCAGGGGCTATCGTAAGGGCATTTAGAGCCTGGTAATTGACAACTATACGCATCTTCCGCTCCCCGGAGCCATCATCACGTTTGTCCACCATGATCGTAGGAGAGCAAATAGGCGAATAGGTCTACCTAACGTTGGTTCACTTCCTTGAAACAGTAGCCCATATATATCGAAATAGAGTTATTCTTAGTTTTCCAAAATCTGTTGTTGTGCAATCCTCCCCACTCGGGGTGCTCGTCTCCTAGGCCCTGTGGCGAGGAGGCCTGCACTGGTGCCGGCGCTATCGCCAGCCCCAGTCTCCACGCATTTTCAGGCGCCTCTAGTGTATGCATGTTAATTCGCAGACAAATTGCCTTATTTTGATCCTAGCAAGAGGGTACTGTCCTCCTCCAGTGTTGCGACCCCTTGTAGATCGCTAGCTAGCTATCTTCTATAGGTCGCCAGCAAGCCCTATTGTAGTGCCGGTGCACTCCACTGTTACCTGGCACACGAATAGGCGCCCTATGGAAAACCTTCTACATTCGACGCATCTCTTATGAAACAGATGCCAAAATATTAGTAAATTCAGTCATCTTCTCAAGTTATGAAATCGATTTTCCTTAAAAGTCCCCCGCACTCAGGGTTCTTGCTTCCTTGACTCTGTGGGGCGGTAGCCTGCACTGGTATCGCCAGCCCCAATCTTTGGTTATTCACAGACACGCCTAGATTACACATGCTGACTTGCTAATAAATTGCGATACTTCGATACTAGTAAGAAGTTCCTGCCCTCGTTCAGCGTGTTGACCTCTTGTAGGTCGCCAGAAAGGTATCTTCTTAAGGTCACCAGCAATCCCCATTGTAGTGCCTGCGCACTACACCTCCGCCCCACAAGGCAAAGGAAGCAAGAACCCTGAATGCGGGGGACTTCCAAGGAAAATCGATATCAGAACTTAAGAATATGACTGCTATTGTTGATATTTTGGTATTTGTTTCGTAAGAGATGCTTCGAAGGTAGAAGGTTTCCTTAGAGCGCCCAATTCGTGGGCCAAGTAGCAGTAGTCGCAGCTGATAGCACTGTGCGCTACAGCTGCCTGTCTCCATATCACGTGCGCGAAGGATGTTTGTCACGTATAACTTCAGGGCAGAGTCGTTTAAACGTTGCTGCTGTTCCGTTGTTTCAAAAGGTATGCTTGCGCTTCTGGTTCGCTTCTTTCACCATAGGCGCGGCCTTAGCAGTGTAGCGCAATTGATATCGTAATGGTTGGCACCCCCACATCCTTTACAGATCCTTGCAGACTGGCAGGCGTTTTCACCACTCATTGATGAATCTTTACCCAAATGTCCCCTCTTCTTACACTCCAAACACAAGGAGCATTGATCCTTATCTATGCACAAAATGAGTACAACTAAGGCTCAGTATTAAAGGGGGT